TCAAGCATCCGTCGCCTCCGCCGTTCCTCACAGGGCCGGCCGGACGGCGCTGAAACGCTTTATCGCGCTTCGCTCTGTCGTCATCCTGGAAGCCATAAAAATCGCGCGCGCGCGTCCCCGGACTCGCATCGATTCGAAACGACAGCAATCCGTCAAGCGATAACACCGTCGTCGGATGCCGTCACGCGACGTCACGCTACGCGCGCGCGAAACGTGGCTTTTGATTAATCAAGCGAGACTGTGTGATTTTCAGCGAGCCTCGCGCGTTCACGCTCGCTGGACCGTCCACCAAAGTGACTCTCTGATTTCCCTTCCCTTTCCTTCCCTTCCCACACTTCGCGCGCGCCTCTTGCCGACCGACCGATCGTCATTTTCGTCAGACGATCGAAATGTGGACACGCGTCTTTCCATTCGCATCGATCGGAAGCGACAGCGATCGGCCGCGCGACGCGCATGAACAAACGCGTCAAGTCACGCCACCAGCGTGTTTCCTCTCGCACGGTGGGAACGTAGTTTCTATTTTCTAATTAATCCGGCAGGAAATGTAAATCTCACGGAGGGCAGACGAGCCGGGCAGATCGCGCGATTATCCGAACCGGCCCTGATTCCTTAGCCCGCGCGCTCGCGCGGTGATCTACGGATCGGATTGCGCCCGCCGAACCGGCCAACGTGCGCGTCCGCTCGTCCGTGTGTGCTTACTTTATTATCGAGGCTCAAATGAGAATTTATGCAGACATAAACGCTCGTGTCAGCAACGCGCGCCGCGTAGGTGGGGAGACACACCGTTGAGCAGGCATCTATCACTCGACGGTGCCGGCTCGACCTGGCCGCCTGCCCCCGCCCCCGCTCGCCCGCCTGGCCGCCCGCGAGCCGCTGCCGCAGGTTCTTGTCGCGGAGGATCCCACGACGTTCGAGAAATGTCGGCGTCAGCCGACCCGAGGAGGGTGACGCGAAAAATTCGAGGGCGACTGACGACGCGCGGCGAGAGAAACGCCGAGGAGGAACACAGAGTCCGGCCGCGTAATGCGGCGCAGAAAATCGCGCCGCATTACGCGTCACTCGATTTGCGTCTTGTTGCCTCGCGTCTTTTCGACGCGAGGCCGACCAACGCGGCCGAGGTCCTCGCTGCGCGAACGCGTAGCCGCGCTAACAAACGACCGCGATGACTTTGCCCCGTGTCACCGTTCCGAATTTAAAGTAGGCAACGAGCGAGCGAGCGCGCGCGACTTTGCCAATCTGAATAAAGGGAGCAATGCGCTCGATATGGCGAAGCGTGGGCTAGAAGCGTCCTTCCCCTGCCGCCCTCACGCTCGTAAATAAATGAAACCTACGAGAAGGTAGCGCGCGCGAGCCGAGCGAGCGAGCGAGCGAGCGCGTGCGCATAAGTAGGCCTCTCAGGCGTACAAAAAGTATGCATTCCCCACTTTCGACGTGAATCATCGTAAAAGTGCACGACCGTTCAATATATTGTACTTACGCGAAGCGCCTGCCCGAGAGGGAGCGAGCGAGAAAGAGAGACGAAAGCGCGCGAGGTTTCTTTTGTCCGAGTATGCACCGCGTAATTCCTTATTCCGCGCGGCGAACTTTTACCGGCGAACTTTTGCCGGACGCTCCCCACCGCGGAACGGATAACCCGCGCGCTGATTCGCCTTTTATCGACACATATATACACACACACATACACACACACACACCAACCACCAAGTACGAGTCACCCCCCGCACACGGGGAGAATGTCGCAGCGAGCGATTGCAACGAGGATGATTTTCGTTGATTCGCGTCAGTTTCTTGATTCCTTGTTTTCTGTCAGCTTTGCTCTGAGTAAGAGTCAATCATAATTGACGTATTAAAGAAACACGCTGACTCGAAGATGGGAACGGAGTTGCCTGACGTCGCCGTGACAGTCGACATGTTGATCTCGAGAAGCGAAAGCGCGCAAGGAGGCGGAAAACGCGACACACGAGGAGGAGAGAAAGTGCAACCGAGGAGTGCAACGGAGCAGACGCGAGGAGACGAGGGCTAAGTAATTACCGTGTGCGAAATTGGGCCGAGAATCGGAGGAGGCACGAGAGAGAGAGAGAGAGAGAGAGAGAAAGAGAGAGAGAGGGGGGAGGGGAGGGAAGGAGGGAGGGAGGAAGAGAGAAAGAGACATCGGACGATGGGCATCGTACGTCGATGATTAACGATCCACTCGGATTCGGCATGAAGAATGCTACGGTATTTTTCACCGTCGACGTTCCCCGAACACTCTAAATTCCCAGCGCGGATCGACTTGGTGGCGTTTACGTAGATTAACGCGGAAGTCCCCATCACCACAAATCATTATTAGCATATTATCGGCGACACTTATCAGGGCGCTGCACGAAGTTCTACCCTCTCAAATAAGAGCCCGCTCATAAATCAGAAAGTGTCTTTCCTCGACTCGGTGATATTTCATTCGTTAACAGGTATATAATTACGTCCGCCGCTAAGTCCCGCCGATCAAATATTTTTCCACTCGGTGAAAATATACGCGTACAAAGAGACGGAAGAGAGAGAGAGAGAGAGAGAGAGAGAGAGAGAGAGAGAGAGAGAGAGAGAGAGAGAGAGAGAGAGAGAGAGAGAGAGAGAGAGAGAAGCGGCGGGCGAGGAGTCGCCTTGCGAACGATAGACGCCGTAAAGTGACTGGTTTATCGGCCGATCGAAGGTACGTCTTCATGATAAATATTTGCCTGACGATTATCCAACGGATTACCGTTACTTCTCGTAATTACGAGCCGTACGTTTCGCCGAGCGAGCGGATATGTGCGTGCTAGCGGCGCCGCGATTGCATCGCGCCGTAGAAAGTAAACTTGGAGTTTACCGTCGTCTTGCTCGTGCGACTCGCGTTGCGTGTGTGACACATCGTCGGAGTGAAACACTGCCTTCACAATACGCCTCGTGAGCCTCGGATAACCAACGACATGAAGCGTATTTCGTCGACCGGACAAGACGAAAATAGAATCGTGCGTGCAAAATGTAAAAAGGCGGAGAAAGACAGACAGAGAGACAGAGAGACAGAGAGACAGAGAGATAGATAGATAGATAGATAGAGAGAGAGAGAGAGAGAGAGAGAGAGAGAGAGACAAAAAAAACAAAGAAACGATGACGCGCATCGATCATCGGTTTTCTGGAATAATTAAAAGCGCGTTTGAGCAGGCGCGCATTTCGTGCCGCGCCGTGTGAAACGCGAACAAGAACAGAAAGGGTAACAACGAAAAAAAAAAACTTAATCGATATTTATCATTAATTACGATGACGGATCCGCGCGGATTTATCGCGCGCGCTTCGCGGCTATATTTCACCGCGCCGGCCGCCGTATATTTCGAAGGAAATTTTTCCACTTTTTTCAGTTATCCGCTCAATATCAGCGCAGACATAAAATGTATCATCACCGTTCGAAACGGAAGGAACGCTACCGCCATCACGCATCCGAAAATTAATCGGCGTGGGCGCAGCCGATAACGAATGGTGTTCCCGCCAAACGGCCAGTATATTTTACTTTGCTCTCCAGTGTCTGTTATTTTGTGCGCATTCTGGCTGTCCGCTCGGCACGATTTACTCGCCGGGCTCGATCAGGAATTTTCGAGTCGCGCGCGCGCGCGCGCGCTTGGCCGGACAAATACCTGCGAATCCATTAAAAAATTGCTGCCTCGCGCGCGCGCGACGATTACTCAAGATCGGCCGAGATCCTCGATGATCCTTGGGCCTGTCAGCTGGACCGACTGACTTTTCGTCCCTTTACCTTCGACGCTACGTTGGACAGGAAGGCGAGAAGTGCAACTTGGTGGCAAATGGAAGGAACAGAGAGGAGGCAAAGATCGTGAAACTATTCGAAGAACTTTCGATCGCAGGAAGCATCCTATAGTTTCCTAATACCTGCCTGCGGGTCTTTTATTGTTATCGCGGCTTGTCTTCCGGCGGATTCTCGTGCTTCCTCGCACTTTCTTACGACCCTCCATGCCGCCAGTCACGTTCTACTCGTGCACCTGATGCCTCTTTTCACGCTGTACCTCTCTGTTGGTCAGGTTACAGGTTGCAGGCGCACCTTCGCACGCGCGAGCGAGTATCTCAGTTGCGAGTCTATTCGCGGACACGATCAGCCCTTTCTGCCTCTTGGCGAAGGTCCGATTTCGCTCTTTTTACTTTACGTCCGCGGTAAGTAGTCTTTTTTTTAACGACGTCTCGTCGAAGGAAAGGAAAAAGTAAGTGAGTAGGTTGTCGATAACGCGAGCGAGGAAGATGCGTGCTCAAAGTGTCAGATAATCCAAGATATGGGCTATTTCTCACGTTTTCGGAGATTGTATTCGAGTATTGTATTCAAAGTGATTGAATCATCTCTCGTGAGTGAGATTCTTAAACGCACTTTCTCAGCAAATTCCGACTAGGCTAGTCGACGATTACTCAGCCGGCAAAGTTGCCAACGTGAAAAGCAAAAGGCAGTTTGTTGTCGAAAAACAAGCAACTCTCTCGTTCTCTCTTCACAATCTGTATTTCCAATCGCTGTCAATCTGTCCCATTCGACTGACACATGTAAAATTATCAAGTTACCGCCAGTTGCTGTTGTGGGCAATTCTGCCGGTTAATTTAATCGGAATTTCACGGAGGTCATCATAACTAAATTTATCGAGAGATACGCTCGCGTCTCTACATCTCTGCCCGGCCAAGGATCGAGTCTGGAAGAATCGAATCCCTACTAGCCGTCGGGGACGGAGAAGACTTCCCGATACCGTCCTCCGCAGGCGGCGGGTAACTCTTTCGCGGAAACGGCGACGGCCGACTTGACTCGCGATGTGAACGAACGGCGGGCCGGAACGCGTTACAAAGAAGTGACGGTTCGATGCTGCAGTCTGACGAGGCGGCGGAGCGAGAGAGCGCGAGAGACAGGGCTAGATAGAGAAGAAGAGATCCATCTCCCGCTCTATCACTCGTTCCGTCGCCCTGCCGCAACATCACTAGACCGGCGCAGCACGGCAGATGGCGTTACGATTGCCCGACTGCGCGTCTTCCGCCATCTTTGCTGGACGGAGTCGTTGTTGGAGCTTCGCTGGCGTAGAGAAACGGTGGATACGTGTGCTCGCGGCGGGCAGTGAACGGGGAATCGTGATCGTGGTGCCGTGAGTGTCGAGTGTGAATCAGTCGAAAAAGAAGGAAAGAAAGAAATAAAAAGAGTGAGAGAGAGAGAGAAAGATAGAGCGGTGAATCAGAGCCGTGCGCTGTTACGGAGTGTCACACGGGCGACTGAGGAGAGAACGAGAGCCTCGCAGAGTCGCGCTTACGCCGAACGTCGCAGCACGGTAAGTAGTAATCGGCCGTAGTAATAACCGCAATCGCACAGGAGGTCCTCCGCTCCGCGCGGAGAGAAGCGTAGGAGCGTCATCGTCGCGCGAGCGCGCCCTACCGCGCCGAGCCGCGAGTGTTTACACTGGGTGTGTCAAAGTGCCGCTTTCTGCTACTGCTGAGAGACATGGGAGATTCGCGGCGAAACGCGTGTCCCGCATCGCGATGCGTCAACAACGACGGCCGTTGTCGCAGAGCGACGAGCACGCGCGCACGAGGAGCGACGCCCGACGGCAAGGCGCTCCTTCGAGGCTCGACGAGAACGGCGCGGCCGAGATTATCGGCCCGAACTAGATTCCGAGAGTCGATCGGAAAGCACGACGCGACATGCGCGCCGGCTGAGATACACTTTCACGCCCGACATCTCTGCCAGGCGAGAATAATTGTTATTGCCTGTGCTCGCTTGCTTTCGCCCTTCCGCAGGAATTCTCGCATCTTTATCTCGAGTCGAGCGCTTTTCCGCTTTCTCGACGTTTTCTCGTTTATCTCACGGTCATACTCTTCATTTCTCTCTGTTTCTCTCTCTCTCTCTCTCGCTCTCGCTCTCGCTCTCGTGCGCATCACGCTATACGCACACACAGATGTCAATCGCCTCTCCCTTTGCCACTTCCTCGCTCACTCACCGTCTCTCTGTCTCTATCTACCTATCTATCTTTCGCTCGCTCGCTCTCTCTCTCTCTCTCTCTCGCGCGCCTCCCCCTTCCCAGGGGCATCGTCGATTGTCGGAAAATGGTGATACGCCGCATTCTTGGGCTCTTTGTTGCGCCACGTAGAGACTGATACGCGAAATCCGTGTCTTGCATATCGCGAGAATCCCACCGCGACTTCTCATCTTGCGGCTGCACCCGCCGAGTGCAACGACACGACAGGCCGCGGAGTGCGTAATATTCGATCGCGACGCGAGGGAGACGGAGATAGATACAGACGGAGACGGAGAGAGAGAGAGAAAAAGAGAGAGAGAGAGAGAGAGAGAGGAGGGAGTGGGAGGGAAACAGATAGAAGGAGAGAGAGAGAGAGAGAGAGAGAGAGAGAGAGAGAGAGAGACCCTTCGATCGTGCCCACATTCCGTGCAGCATAAGTATCTCTCACCGTCAGCACGAGATATACTGACCCACCGTAGTTCTGCGCACCGTTTCACCGTGTGAACTACCGCGCACGGTACGCGCGAGACGAGACACTCACGTGCCATTTTAAAAGGATTTCGAGCCATTTTTATTCTCGCCGCTCGGAGAGCCGGTGTGATTCGGTGTGACTCGGTCTCGCGCTGCACAAACGGGAGCGTCGCTTCGCCTCGCCTCGCCTCGCCCTGCGCTTGTGCCTGATCTCTTTTTGCATCGCCGCGCGAGCGAGTAGTTTCCTTTTGCATATCTGACACAGCCGGAGGGAACGTCGAGAGGCTAACGGGTCGTGCCATGAGGCGGAGTGTCTAGAGGAGCTCACGAGTTCACGGGTTTTATTTGTCGCAGGTGACAGGATAAACTCGCTTGTCGGAGACATGAGTTACCCGATGTCGTCGAATCAATCTAGACCGAGTAAGTCACGTTTGGTGTGATTTGATTGTTTGTCGCTTGGATGGGATTGTGCGCGATAGATCAGATTGTTATTGTCCGTTTGCTCGGGTTTCAGTGTCCCACGGAAATTATCAGGGCCCGGGCGACCTGCCCATGGGCTCTGCCAAGGAACAGACCCTGATGTGGCAGCAGAATTCTTATCTGAGTGATTCAGGTATTCATTCTGGTGCTGTCACTCAGGCGCCATCCTTGTCTGGCAAGGAGGATGAGGAGATGGAGGGGGATCAGTTGATGTTCGACCTGGACCAAGGATTCGCACAGGGTTTCACACAGGACCAAGTAGATGGTGAGGCTGGCCAAGGACCATCTTTGTAAATTAGAATATAGAGTTTTTGAGAAATTGGGTGTATTATCTGTATTATGACCAGTAACTGACACCTTACAGAGATGAACCAACAACTGAGTCACACACGGTCCCAGCGTGTGCGCGCTGCCATGTTCCCCGAAACATTGGAGGAAGGTATTGAGATTCCTTCCACGCAATTCGATCCAGCACAGCCCACTGCTGTGCAACGGCTGGCTGAGCCGAGTCAGATGCTGAAGCATGCCGTCGTCAATTTGATCAATTATCAAGATGATGCCGATTTGGCGACACGCGCTATTCCGGAATTAATTAAACTCTTGAACGATGAGGATCAGGTGGTCGTTTCTCAGGCAGCTATGATGGTACATCAATTGTCGAAGAAAGAAGCCTCCCGCCACGCCATCATGAACAGCTCGCAAATGGTGGCTGCATTAGTACGCGCCATTTCGAACAGCGACGATCTGGAGTCGACCAAGGCCGCCGTCGGTACTTTGCACAATTTGTCTCATCACAGGCAAGGTCTTCTGGCCATTTTCAAGAGCGGCGGCATACCGGCTCTGGTGAAACTGCTAAGCTCCCCGGTGGAATCGGTGCTTTTCTACGCGATAACGACCCTTCATAACTTGCTGCTGCATCAGGATGGCTCCAAAATGGCTGTGCGTCTTGCCGGAGGCCTCCAAAAAATGGTCGCTCTGCTGCAACGGAATAACGTCAAATTCTTGGCCATCGTCACCGATTGTCTGCAAATTCTGGCATACGGGAACCAAGAGAGCAAACTGATCATCCTCGCTTCACAAGGCCCGATAGAGCTCGTGCGCATCATGCGCTCCTATGATTATGAAAAATTGTTGTGGACCACTTCGAGGGTATTGAAGGGTAAGTATCGCGATTTATTATCTATAAGTTTTCTACAACTTGTTCAGTCACGTTTTCATTCTCGTTCATCATCGACAAGTATTTATCTCATCTTCATTACATTACCTCATTAATGTTGAATGTTTCCTTTACAGTACTGTCTGTATGCCCCAGTAACAAGCCGGCAATCGTAGAAGCGGGTGGCATGCAAGCACTTGCAATGCATCTCGGAAATCCGAGTCAAAGATTAGTGCAAAACTGTTTGTGGACGTTGCGTAATCTATCAGATGCTGGTACAAAAGTCGACGGACTCGAGGTCTTACTGCAAAGTCTCGTGCAGGTGCTTGGGTCAACGGACGTGAACGTCGTCACGTGTGCTGCTGGCATCTTGTCAAATCTTACTTGCAACAATCAACGTAACAAAGTATGCCAAAGTGAAGACACTTTCTCGCGCGCCTTCCTTATGATATAATATTTGGCAGAAGTAAAAACTTGTATCTCTCTCTCTTTCTCTCTCCTTACAGGTGACTGTCTGTCAGGTCGGCGGTGTCGACGCTCTCGTTCGTACGATTATCAATGCCGGCGATCGGGAGGAGATCACTGAGCCAGCAGTCTGCGCTTTGCGCCACTTGACCTCGCGTCACGGAGAAGCGGAAATGGCACAAAATTCCGTTCGATTAAATTACGGTATCCAGGTCATAGTCAAATTACTCCATCCTCCATCGCGCTGGCCACTGGTGAAGGCGGTAATCGGATTAATCCGCAATTTGGCTCTCTGTCCCGCAAATCACATCCCGCTACGCGACCACGGTGCGATACATCATCTTGTGAGACTTCTAATGCGCGCATTCCAGGATACACAGCGAGTGAGTATACCCGAGAGCAATCTGTTATTACGTCTGAATTACATTCATGTCACAAAGTGATACCATTTGTGATTTGCAGCAACGATCATCCGTGGCGAGTACCGGTAGCCAACAGACTTCGGGCGCGTATGCTGACGGCGTACGTATGGAGGAGATTGTGGAAGGTTCAGTAGGTGCGCTGCATATCCTCGCAAGAGAATCCCACAACAGGGTGATAATCCGATCACAGAACGTGATTCCAATTTTTGTTCAGGTATGTACAGCCGTCTTCGTGGAAACATGCAATTTCTTCGACTATATACTTTTGAAAGCCGCAAGTCTTCTTTTTTTTTTTTCTTTTTGCTCAATATAATGATGAAAATGATTGCGTCGTATGATATATAAGGAAGCTATTTTTTTTGTATAATAATATTATGTTTTTCCACAGTTACTCTTCAATGAGATTGAAAACATTCAGCGTGTGGCTGCCGGCGTACTTTGCGAACTGGCGGCTGATAAGGAAGGCGCCGAAATGATCGAACAAGAGGGTGCTACCGCCCCGTTAACAGAGCTGCTCCACTCCAGGAACGAGGGTGTTGCAACCTACGCAGCGGCAGTGTTGTTCCGCATGAGCGAGGACAAGCCACAAGAATACAAAAAGCGACTTTCCATGGAATTGACGAATTCCTTATTCCGCGAAGACACCAATTTGTGGAACAATGCTGACTTTAGCATGCCTCCAGATCTTCAGGTATCGTAGCGAAGGGATACAACACTAGTGCACGTAAAACATCTCGTGGCGAAACTGATTTACTTGCAAACACTATGTAACATAGCGATTGTTGGTATTACATGTTGAAAGTAGTCTGCGTCTCTTATCGTTGGTTCTTTTCAAGTACTCGCCAGGAGTCAGGTTTGTAACGCGACGTCAGTGGTAATACATTTTTTACATGGTAGCATAGAAAATACGTTAAACATTCTACTAGATGGTTACATTGTGTTGAGTAAATTGTGCCACGTTAAGATAATAGTTTTTTACTGGTCATAGAGACACACCCCATTTCTCTAGTTATAACTACAGGTATTTATATACAAGGTTTTCCCCGTGTAACATTAATTCCGAGCACAGCTGTTTATATAAGCTACGTACATTATCCATTATTCCAATTTGCACTACTAAGGCATCTGCGATACTATGCGATTTGTGTTTCACGGCGCTCAGTTTTTTTTTTTACTGTCGATGAATTTTTTTTTCTTTTTTTATGCCTTTATCATTACATACTTGAAAGTGACGGGTATATGACATGTTGAGGCACTAATTTCATACACAGTCTTACAGTTCTTAACCAATTTTTTCAACGTTTTAATCAGCAGTTTTCACATGTTCGCTTCTCGTGCAAATGCATCTTGGTTATACATACATCATTAACTCATAAGCGCACTTGAAACTAAATTTTCGACTCATGCTTAAGCTTCGTAACATACGGTTTTCACTGTGTATAAAGTTTTTTTCTCTTTAGATTTCCATATCTATACGTGCGTATGTACGCATAAATATGTTGGGCGAAATTTGATGAAAGATCGACGAAGGTGACAGGGTCGTGCCTAATGGAGCAATGGATCACGAGATACATTTAGTCTAATTGATAGTTTGCAAGATTATATAATCTGCATGAGAATGCGTTTTGTCCCAGATATTTATTTCAAAATTTTTCCCCTTTTATTTATTTTTTTTTATTACCGTCATTACCACTGTTGTTTACGCAAGCCCCTTTATAGTTGTTTCCATTATTGTACGAGACTTACCAGACAGACATAGCGCGCGTATCTCATCGGTATTTCGGGGTGTCATGACACGCCTCCCTCGGATAATATGCTTTGTGTTGACCTGAGCTACCTAATCTTCAGGACATGCTTGGCCCTGACCAAGGCTATGATGGTATGTATGGGCAAGGACCTCCTAGTGTACACAGCAGCCACGGCGGTCGGGGTTATCAACCGCAAGGTAATTTATAAATGTTATCCATCTTGTTCGTCGAATGCCGCTTCCGAACAGTCGACTTATTACTCGATCGAAGGTAGACGGAGTTACAAATGATCATTGAAGCAAATGTCATTCTATATCAAATCTGCTCTTGTACATAATCGTAAATGACGATGATTGCGTATGGCGTGTAATTCACTGCAACGACACCTAATCGTACGTTGATATAACGCTACCTTACGAGCCGATTCCGTTGTTTTGCATTCCTATGAATATACGAGAAAGTTCGATCTCACAACTCGCCATCTCGTTATCTCTTAATACGAAATAATGCATTTAATTGTGTATGTTATTTTAACAGCAGCTTAACCCATGGACTTAGATTAAAATACGAGCTATCAGCCGTATCTCGCAGTAACATAGGTGATATTCGGTCCTCACGTACCGTTCTTTGTTTCGTCATCTGATTGGTCTTTAATCACTTTAATCACTTGTCGTTTATATAATTGCATGTTCAATGTTACACCTTCACTCTCAATCGCTTCCTTCTTTTCTGTTTATTTACTATCACACACTCGTCGTTTGGTGCATGGCATATGTTCTTTCTTTGGGAATGTACATTTAACCCTATCGTACTTTCTGCCACGATATACACTTTATGGTGGAGAAATCGTATGTGAGGATGGTATTTGTAAGTAATTATGTAAGAGAATTTCCCGGCGCATAATTTATCCCCCGAGACAGAGAGAGAGAGAGAGAGAGAGAGAGAAAAAGAGAGAGAGAGAGAGAGAGAGAGAGAGAGAAAAATCAAGCCCGAGGATAACGTTTCGCGGAGTAGAGTAACACGCAAATGTCTCATTAATGTCTCGGGAACGATAGCAACGTGACTTTTCACTCTTCCGATTACATAGCGGCATGTAATCAGGCTCCACAGTACTCAGTTGATTAGCTATTGTCTTTGTGTATCGCTTATTTCCGTTACAAAGTTTCGAGAATCTCTTTTCATGTGTACACCATCTATCTTTCTATAATTATTCACTACAATTATTAATCCGAGAGTGGGCGCGCGCGTGAGGCGATCTTACGCCTCAACGGCAGAGAAACGAAGCTCACGTCACAGTGGCTATTTTTTTGCCACCGTATACCTACCTACGCACCCACTCTCGGGTTAGTCGGTAGCTTCTGTCGCTAAACAGTCTTTGCTCTGCAACTCGGGTCTTTATGATAGAAAAAGAAGTATCATAGTTTAATCGACGGCCGGATCTATCGAGTATGATATGTGTTAATATTGTACGATATGGTCGTGCAAATTAGTCCAATGAATATGATAATAGCCGTTAGAAAAGAAATGTAGAAGTATCTCGACTTTTGACAGCGCGTAGTTTATTGCAGTTTCGTAACAGTTTCGGAAGATTGCACTTGTTTTTTTTTTTTATCGATGTATAATTATCATCGCGGCAACTGCGAGCGATGGAATGTCTGACGCAGAAAATGTTTTTCTCTTCCGTACAACAGGTTATGACCAGATACCAGTAGACTCGATGCAAGGCTTAGAGATAGGTGGTGGATCGACGTATGGTGCAATGGACACCATGGATGTGGCGCACGAGGGTGATTTAAGTTTCGATCATTTGGAAGAGCTTCCTGCACCGCCGCAGGACAACAACCAGGTAGCGGCCTGGTACGATACCGATCTCTAAATCCGTGCCATCACCGATCTCGCGCGAAAAGAGAAGAGAGGGAAGAGAAAGAAAGACAAAGAGAGACGGAATCAAATAAAAACAAAGAGAAAACGAAATGAGAAGATGTAAAAAAAAAACGAAGTAAAAGATAAAGGAAAGGATAACTGCACGGTGGTCAACCGCCGTATGCGCTAAATCTACGACCAATCTCTCACACACACATACACACACGTGCATACACACAAGTACACACACACACGCACGCACACACGTTCATTTTAGACTGGTTTTATTTACAAGACTCACTTTCGACATGACGTAGTAGACCGATCGAAGACTATTCGCAACTTTGACCGCCTTTCGTCCGCGAACGCGGTCGTCCTCGGATACAAACGATCGTATAGTCGCGCTGTAGCTGACATCTTCCTGTAGTCCATCCACCTTCGCTTCCATCGAACGAAGAGTGGAGACGTTCGCGCTAACTCATATCGACCCAAGAAGAAAAAAAGGAATGTATCGCCTAATATGATCACTCACCCGTGCGTATGAGCATTATATTACGCGTTTCTGTTGGCGGCTCTGATTTTTAATCGCGCTGCGAGAGCGACGACCTATTTATATCACACTCTCCCCCTCCCTGCCCCTTCCCCCTGCCCAGTCCCGAAAAAAAAAAACTGGTAGTGTCATTTCGAGGTATCGATGACTTAACAATCACATATAAGTATAACTATGGAATAACGATGAAACTTTCGTATTATGTATTTTACAGGGTAGTTATACTTAATTTGTATTGTCATTATTAAAGTAGCTGCGCAATCGGAACGACACTCGGCGTCGCACGATGCACCGTATGCGCTTCCGATCGCAATCGATGTATTAGAATTAAGAAAAAGACACTCGTAATTCGTACACACATGTATATGTATCGTTTATTGTCCATACAAATAAACTGAACGATCAAGTCAAGCTCTCGTATGTTGTTTTCACTGTTTCTCGCTTAGAACTAGCTAGAAACATACGACAGGATGCAGAATGCACTGATAAAATGGAGATTAAAGTTTTTGTACCATTATTGCGTTCACGCTCGCGGACGATTATCGTTAATAACGTCGAGCAATAAAACAACTAACGACAAATCCATAATGATACTTGTTTATGAGTGACAATCATAAACATAACTCTGTTTATATAACAAATCGCTGTACACTAAACTGTACATATGCTTTAACACCCATCCGCAAATATTTCCCACAATTCTACCTGCATGTACACGTAAAAATCGTAGGAAACCTTATCAAATGAATGTTAAAGCATTTATGCAGCTTATTGTACCGATTTACCGATTCTTATATACAAATATTTTATATATAAATTTTATATATAATTAATTATATATAAATTTTATATATAAATATTTTTAACTCCAGTCAAGTTCAAATAAGGATACTGATGCATTACATATATTTTATTAGCAGTATTTCTTTCAGCATGACATTTATCATGCATCAATAACAAAGGAAGAAAATGTTATAAAAATGTTGTAATAATGTATTCACTATGTTTATAATAAGTTTCATTCCAACATGTGTGAAGTTTATGAAAGTATAATACTGTAATATTATTTTAAACAAATGATTATAATCGATCCAATAAATATGAATAAATGTCAGAAAACAATTTTGTGTTTTCCTAATATTTCCTAACAATCTTCATATCTAACTTCACCTGAAAAACAATAAACAATCTAACTGCACTTACGAAAAGCATTAAATAATTCCATACATTCAAAAATACATTCAAATTGGCTATGGTATAGAAAATTTCCCTAAAACACTATATATTTTCTCTAAAGGCTACAAAAATTCTTTATCTGACAACCAATCGGCACACCTGACAATATACACGTAGTGTAGCCGAGTGCAAAGCATGGAGTCCGGTTCCGATTTAAATAGCAATCTAAAAGGAACTCAAGTAACTTCTGGACTGCCAACTCATATTACAATATACGCGAATGTTCAACACAAGCGATTAAAAACACGTTCGCAATAAAACAATACGTATTATAAAATTCAATATACATATGTTTGTAAGGCAATATATATAATATTTAAACCGATAGGCCGAAATCAATGTGAAAATGAAAGATCACCGATTATAAGTTAATTATTTGTGATAAGACGTTAATCTACATTCGAAATAAGGATGATCCGAGTAAATCACATCGAGTTGTGATCGCACGTTTTGAAGTTAGAAGTTACGAAAATTTGAAAAGTTACAGGCCCAGAAACGACGAGCCATCAAATATTAATTAACGAAATATTAGTGATAGAGTTTTAATCTAGACACAAAATAAGAAAGATCCTCATAAATTACAACAAGGTGTGCCTATTTGTTATCGAGAAATTAAAGTGGATAGGTCAAGACCGATCGATGCGAAAACAACGTGTCACCGGATATAAGCTGCAAAATTATTTGCTATAAGATATTAATCTAGGTTCAAAATAAGATTGATCCGTGATTAAACCGTATCGAGCTGTGATCACGCGTTTCAGAGTTATAAGCCACGAAAAATGAAAAAGTGACAGGCTCGAAAATGACCTATCACGAAATATTAATTATAGAAATATGGATAATAAGGTTTTAATCTAGACCCAAAATAAGAAAGATCCTCACAAATTATAACAAGGTGCGCCTATTCGTTATCGAGAAATTAAAGTCGATAGGTCAAAGCCGATCGATGCGAAAATAACGTGTCACCGGATATAAGTTGCAAAATTATTTGCTATAAGACATTAATCTAGGTTCAAAATAAGATTGATCCGTGCAAACCGCATCGATCTATGATCACGCGTTTCAGAGTTATAAGCCCCGAAACATGAAAAAGTGACAGGCTCGAAAATGACCTGTCACGAAATATTAATTATCGAAATATGGATAATAAGGTTTTAATCTAGACCCAAAATAAGAAAGATCCTCACAAATTACAACAAAGTGCGCAATATTCGTTATCGAGAAATTAAAGCCGATATATCAAGACCGATCTATGCGAAAATAATGTGTCACCGGGTATAAGCTGCAAAATTATTTGCTGAGACATTAATCCACGTTCGAAATAAGATTCATCCGAGCAAACCGCGTCGAGCTGCAATCACGCGTTTGTTAGAGTTCCACAAAAGATGGAAAAGTGACAGTGTCCGAAATGATCTGTCACGAAATATTAATTATCGAAATATGGATGGTTAAGATTTTAATCTTATCTTTAATTATATAGAATACCTTCTTCACCTTCAATATCGACAAAAAAATATTTTATCGACGCGTTTTTGTAAGGCAACTGTTCTATTTGAAAAAATCGTCGCTTTGCCTTATGGAGCGAGATATTAATTGTTAAAGTTGACGGCAATTTAGGTTAGGAAATCCGTCACGGAGGTGACAGATAATTAAAAATAAATCTTCGCCTTACTAAAAAGATGAGCCTACAATATACTAAGAATGTATACAATCAAAATACAATTATATACAGTTAAATATAATTAGATACAATTAGAAAATGAATTAAAATGTTTTATATTTATATTTTTATATACTTATATTTTTATTGATATTTAAAATATATTTTATATATTTATTTTTATTTCTATGTCATTTTTATATATTATCTCATTTACATTTGCCATTTTAGCTATGTCTGTCACTTCTCTTATTTTCTTTTAAACCTTTCGCCTTATTAAAAAGATGAATTTACAACATACTAAAAATGGATTGTTAAGGTTGACGGCAATTTGGATTAGGAAATCTGTCACAGAGGTGACAGATGATAAAAAATAAATCTTCGCCTCACTGAAATGATGAGTCTACAATATACTAGGAATGTATACAATCAAAATACAATTGTATACAATTAAATAGAATTAGATACAATTAGAAAATCAATTAAAATGTTTTATATTTATATTTTTATATACTTATATTTTTACTGAAAATACAGGAAAGATTAGCAAGGGAGGATGTATAATGAATCAAAAGTGAAAGAATCATAGCTATTTCATTACATAACAAAAGGAACAGGATCAGTTCTACATAATAAGATAGCACATGCTATTGTTCTTCTGCTTCTGATTCATGATACATCCTTCCTTGCGTATGGGCTTTGCTAATTTTTTCTATCCATTTTTAGTATATTGTAGACTCATCTTTTTAGTAAGGCGAAGATTTATTTTTTATTATCTGTCACCTCCGTGACAGATTTCCTAACCTAAATTGCCGTCAATTTTAACAATTAATATCTCCACAAGGCAGAGTGACGATTTTTTTCAAATAGGACAAACGCGTCGATTGAGTATTTTTTCGTCGATATTGAAGGTGAGGAGGGTATTCTGTATAATTACTTCGAATTGTTATAATGTTGTACATAAAATAAACTTACCCCTCGATGGTTCCTGAGGTCCCTCCTTGTAAAATATATCCTTGGACACTTAATATTTTCCACAACACAAACACTAAATTTAACGTTGCACAATAAGAGGCCATTTTTTCACACTTGATCACAACACAAATCTTAAGCAACAAACGCGCGTAATTTCATTCGGCACTCCCGACGATCCGGTTTCGTCAATTAGTTACTTTCGACTACTTGGCGATACTTCGCCATAACAGCCAAATGCACGAAATTTGCTTTCGGTACTCTCGACGAAACAATATACGCCGATATTCGCCTTTGGTAATTTAAAATCGCGGAAAATACGCACGGCTTTTGGAATCTACGTACTAAGCGTTGCAGTGCAATGGTCACGATTTTCAATGTGTGCGTATGTCGGTGAATACGTATCACTAGCGCACTAGCCAATCAAAATATTCTATCCGAAACCGTCCGTTCCGTTTGAAATATTCCAAGAAGTCGGCCATAACAGAAAAAATTCCCGGAACTTTACTCGACCCTCCCGACGAACAATGCACATTTCCAGCGAATATTTAACGAAGGCTGTGCCATACCTCGATGTTTAACGATAATTCGCGGCCGAGACTTGGCTGACGAGTCAAAAACGAAGCTCCGCGACGCGAAAACCGAGCTGCCCTTATGCAGCTAGCGCGCCGAACTTTCCTCGGAATTCCGACGATTTATCTCACTTCACTTCGCACGGCGGAACGAACATCACTCCATCATAACACACGCGCGAAACTTACTTTCGGCACTCTCGGTAACGATTTAAGGCACGAGACTCAGCTACGGCGAGTCAAAATCACGGGCGACGGTTTCACGCACACAACACAACCCGTAACCACCGCCATAACTAAATACGAATGTAACTGCGAACAGCGCCACAAGCGAGATACTCGGGAAGCTGAGTCAACCAATCACAGTAATTCATTTCTTTCCGTAATGGAACTATTTAACTGTACAAAGTGTACGAGGTGCAGGTGAAAGCAGTCGATGATAGGTCGATTTAATTCGGAGCTACACGCAGTGTAATAAAAGACAGTGATAGTACAATTTGATGCAATAACCGGATCGCTTCATGGCACTCTTTTACACCGTACTGTACTGTAAATAAAATTACGTGCTCTTAATTTTAATGTTTATATTTTCCACAATCTTAGTTTGTAATTACGTATTATTATAAAATAGGGGAAAGAAAAGATTACTTAAAGTTAACTTACTTAAAGTTATATTTTATGTATAAATAACACTCGGTAATTATCAAGGTTATCAATTGTTCTTTCTCGAAGAACTTCTGAACTGTAATTGAGCAAGTTAGAGTGAGAGAAAATATATCTGTTTCACTCTGACTTATTGCACTACTTCACAACTTCGAAACAGAACAGACTTGAAGAAACGAACTCCCTCACGATTTGCCTAAAACACTCTAACAATGTCAACAAATAAGAAGCAATCAAATGAAAGAGCAAAAGTTAAAAAGATGAAGTGCATCTGATTTTTGTAAATAAAAATATAGTTAATAAATTAAGGATGTAAAAGATAATATTGCAAAAGCATAGAAACCAATGTTATTAAATTGTTATTAAACATGAAACACGTATGGCATATGATGTCAAAAGAATTTTGTTGAGGGAGCTCTTGCAATTTATGTGGATAATTAATTGGTATTTATCTGTAGGGTCATTTTCCTAATTTCTGATGTCAATTACATTAAAATAAATTTTGTATTACTCTTCTTCAATATAATTATATGTATTTCAGTAAGGTTGAGATGCAACAAGCCATAATAAAAAAAGAATAATGCGATGCAAAGGCTCTTGCAAATAGTTGAACAGCTTTTAGAACCAAATGTGGATTCTGACTGGCTTCTGCAAAATGTAAGTATGTTAATTATTATTTTCTAATTGTGTATATAATGATGAACGATATATGAATGATATATATATTATTTGTTAACTTTATAGTTACAATTTATAAATAAAGCACACTTGGAGGATGTAATAGAAGAAAGAGTTATCATAAAACTATGTGGGTATGTTCTTTGTTCAAAACCATTAATAGTTATTGTCAAACAACAATATCGTATATCAACATGTACAAATAAGGTATATGATATCAGCAAACACAAAAACTTTTGCAGTTCATCATGTTATGGGGCATCTAATTATTTACTTGAACAATGAAAAGCTTGAACAAATGCTTGAGAGTCCGCTGTGGTCAAGAAGAAAAGAGGATATATTCAGTTTTTAAAATTTTACCTATAAATTCTGGCTCAGGTTGAGCCTATAAATTCTGGCTCAACCTGAAATTATATATTTTTAGATTTTATACTCATGTATTTGACTTTGTAGTTATATATATATATATATATATATATGTGTCCATTCACAATTTATCTAGAATTTATAGGTCAAATTTTAAAAACTGATATATCCTTTTCTGGCTAATTGACAAGCAATTGCAATCGGTGCTCAAGTCTAAACAAGCTTCCATGTACACGTTGACGATTCTTATGTCTTATAAATGAAATTCGGGTTACTTAGATAGGCTCATAGTAGATGTGATAAACAATATAACTGATATAAGTGATAAAAAAATATATATGAATCGTATAATGAACAAAATTTATTAGAATAATGATATTTACATATATATTCTGTTTTGTTTTAGTAGATTCAACTTTGTTAATATTTACCTTTTCTCCTACATTTTAATATAAAACATTTTGTTAAAAACAGTTATAATACTGTTTACTGTTTATAATATTATAATTATGTATCAGATCTTTGATACACATTTGTATACGAGTGTAAGTCGATATATAAGTCGCAAAACGGAATAAAGAAAAAACAAGTACTTGCCTGTTCCTTTGTTATTTTTTCCACACAATCCTGCCAACAAGAGCACTTGTTGGTTGCGCAAACAGCTGCCGATTTTCAAAAACTTGTGAAACGATGGAATAAGTGTCTGAATGCAGGATTATGTGAAAAAATAACCAAAAAAATAAGCAAATACTAGTCGTTTCTTTTCTATCCCGTTTTGCGATTTATGTATTGATTTTCACTTGTGTGTATATGTGTATATGTTATGTATTGTATCTACATTTGTTTATTTTTATATTGGTATATATATGTAAAAAATATTTTATGACGCATGAGCACATCTTATTAGAATATCTGATAAGATGTGATTGCAACCATAATTTTTTCAATATTGTGGCCTTCAGAAATCTGTACAACATTGTAAATATTCATATTTATAGTTATTTAAAGAATTGGTCTTCTAAGCAAATGTAATGTTATACGTTAGATTATATGTATCAGTGTACGTATTAATTACGAAATTCTTAATTATACACTTGGTATATATATTTAGTGAGACCAGGAAATTTTTTGAATAAAATTACAAAGATATCAGTCATAGCAATGAGGTTTTTGCCTTTATTTTAATTGTACCTCTTTTGCTTGGTCCTATTTCCTTTAAGTCAAATGTACAATTCTAAAGCGAACTTGAAGTTGCTGTCGGTATCCCAGAAAGTGTAGAGGGAGAACAATCCATACCTAATGTGTCCATTTGTCCATTTCCTGCCAATTGATCTTCTGCAGAGTGGTTGCCGACTTTATCACGTAGAGATTCATAAAGTGTATGAACTGCTTCGTTATGCTGCGAATTTAAAAAATGTTTAATCAATATAATTGACAAATTACAATTGTTATTTAATGTAACAACTTTTAAATACAGCAAAATTTTACCTGGCTCGTTGGCTGCAAAGCTTTCAATAATGAATGCAACCTCGCGGATGGTAATTTAGGATGTATATACCAAAGTAGCTTCAGCAAGTGTCGCGTAACATTATCTCGACTTAAACCAGTCAAGAAAAATTCATCGAAGATAACCGTACAGAATGACTCGGTTGAAAATTCATCGGCCATGTTTAATATTAATAGCGAAACCTATAATTCATTGACAAAGTTGTTGGTAAAATGCATAAAAATTATTGCACACGTCTGTAATGTGCAAGATGTTAAGTACGATGAATGTTACCAGTGTATGTAGGAATGGATCTTCAAAAGCTCGATGTGCCTGACAATTTGGCAATATCGGCAATACTCTCGTCAAACCTCTGGTATCTCCTCTACCTTTTACAACCCCACCACCACCTCCAACGTGTAATGAATAATACATCGATAGGACTGCCGCTACTCCGGAAAGCTGAACATATGTTTGACACGCATCTGGAGTTGGTCCAGCATGTTCTATAATTGCAATTGCGCTTTCTCTTTCATCAGGTGGTAGTCTACAATTGAGCTGTCTTATTTGATCATCAACCTAAAAAGCAATAACATCATTCATATCATTATCATACCAATGTTAATTTCTTTAATATTCCAAAATATTACGTGCAATATTTAATTACTTCACAAAGTTACCATAAGTGACATAAGTGCTGGCAGAAATTTCGTGACAACTTGACCATCCAGTTTAGGTTCCTTGAATACTTGCGTGTCAATCATTTGCCAAGCAGATAATCCTAGGGCGAGCATTCTCAGCAGTAACAAAAGCACTGCATTGTCTCTAGGTAACGATTCGCTATTTATCAGATGGAGCGCTATTTTAATTACACTACTAGCCAAAAAATTTACCGCATACGGATCACACAGAATCATACTCAGGTCCCCTAATACTTGCTCCTGTCCTCTCTATAAGACACAATAAAATATTTGCAATAAGTAATAATGAATAATATTATAAAATACAAGTTCAATCCAATCAATCTGATACCTTAATACTATCCAAGAAGCCTTGCAGCTCACGAGACCTTTTAACATCTACATTCTTCTCTCTTATACAGGCATCCAAACACCAAGTAAATTTATGACAAGGGTCTACAGAAATAATTTCCTGCACCTAATAACAAATTAACATATTAACAAAATTAATACAATATAATTTAAATAACTGCATTAACACAACACATATCTACCTCTAGATCGTGCAATGCCATTAACAATTCTGCTCTCAGAGTACAATAATTGATATTTTTCGTACGTAAAAATAAAGTTCTTAAAAATTGCAGCACCATATCGTACAACTTTACACTATGCCCAATCATATGGGCCAACTTTTGTACAACTTCTCCCTGTCTTCTTACCTACATAAAAGAAAAAAATATTTAGCTGACAAATATTTCATGATATATAAATTCTAAAATATTATCAACTATAGTATACCTTAGGAGATGGTGTAAAAAATAGACTATTCAAGTTCCGATGATCGAATAAAATTTGTTCTTTTTCAATAATATAACGACTAAACAGTGGAGAAACTTCATCTCCGAAAAGACTTTGGTTATCTTTCCAGATTTGACGTTTTACTTCTGTATCAGCATCGTTGTATAACTCCTTTTCCTTAACCAACACTCGCAGGTATTTTTCTTCGATATGTGGAGTATTCCTCAAGATAGCCATCACAACAGGTCGCAACTGAGCAACTCTTACAGCAGGAAAGCTTTTGGACAATAATTCTTTTAGCCTCTTATCCACAGAAGCACTCTTATCTGCTCTTTCCAAACCAATTTCATTAATTCGTTTTATCAATTTCTCTCGTAATTCCTCAAGAACAGAAGCATGAAAATCTAATCTTCTGACTCCATGTAAATCCAGTAAAGGCAACATTGGTCGTAATGATGGTAATAATATACCATTTTCCATCTAAAATATATTAGATATTAAGATATATAAAAGAGAAATATGCTATACAACTATCTGCCCAATTTCCTAATTGTTACTTGATATTCCTCAATAGCTTTCAGTGGATCCGTGCAACTTGTCAAAGCATCTCTCAGATATGCTTGTCCAGGTATACCAAGATCCTCCAGTCCATGACCAGTTTCATCACTGTTCTTCATCGAATTCATCGCGTCGTTTTATTGCACAATAAATTATTTCATGCGTATTTATGACCACTTTATATTAAAAATTGAATGTCTATTTAAATCTTATGTACATTATAAATTTTTAAAACTTAAATTTATTATTAAACTTAAACTTAAACTTTAATTTATTATAACATTTATTGATGTTTTATATACATTAGGAATTTTAAAAATTTAAACTTTTATTATTGTAGTTTTCTGTTCTTTTTTCTTTTTTAACGACAGTTCATTCAATATCACGTTAAGTAATTGGTAGACCCGCTTTTATCTTCACTTGAAAATTTTTTATATAATTAGCTGGTAAAACTTTATTATTCCTCTTTTACTCGTGAATATCAGTTAACGTCTCTAACAGTTACTGAAAATAGAATGACTAACCTCGTCGCTCTCATACGCATGCAACGTGAGGATGTACTTTGTGCGCATGAGCATGGGTCTGTTCTTTTTCGAAGGAACCTTCGAAAGGGGCCTTTCTCGAAAATTCCTGAAAAAAAAAACGTATGCGATGTTTCATCAATGGGGCGATTTAATTGGCTGAGAATCGTGATATCTAGTAACATTCATTTGGTTTTGGTTATAAAATTAGTAAGCCTTAAACTTAGATATGTTCCGTAATTGGTTAGCTGATTTATTTGATCGACGTACGATCGGAAGATTCGGTAATCAGAGTAATAATAAAAAATCTATCCATTTCTATATGAATAGTACAAAGTTAGTAGATAAAAGCAAGTTCTTAAACAGAAATAGTACATGCCTACGAGCGTCCAAGCATGATCAGCTGATCAATTACGAAACGTAACTGATTTAATTTCAAATCCACCAATCTTATAACTAAAATCAAAGTTTCCAAAACCGTTTTTGGAACAAGCCTGTAAAATTTAGCCGTAACTAAAACAGGTACTTTTGTGAACTTTTAGGAATGCATTCGATAGTATTCGTTGAGCTATATAAGATGGCGCAACCTTCGACTTTTCCTCTTCACCGGAAATCACCCTAAATAATTTCTTTTCGGTTTTTCAACATCGTCAATCCCTACTGCCAGACTATTATGTTTGGATATTTGTACAACATGGCTGTTGATTATTCGACAAAACGGCAGCAATATTTCAAAGTAGCCGATCCGTCACAGTTTGACATTTTAAGCGGGTGAGCGGATGAGCGGATGAGCGGTTTTCAAAAAGGTTAGAAAGCGATGCTTAGCCAATCATATGAATCTCCTAAGTACGTTTAATGTAAAATAATGTAAAATAATAGCTCATAGGTTAATCACACAAATCATCAGTAAGATACGAATGCCCGACGGTTTTTATCCTTACAGTACTCACAAGGAAATTACATGGATATTGATTCATCAGTTTCGATACAAAATACTCTTAATAGCATTTTTCGTTATATAAGTTCTAAACTTCGCAAATATTAGCTCTTTATGCAGAATTCCAGTCTTAATAATATCAGCCGCAGTTTTTATAGAATTTCAATGGAACACATTTTATTTTTATAAAGTATATTAATGTGTTAACTTGTTTTTATAGAAACTATTTCCACGGCATAAACATGCGTGTATCGTATCTTACATAGGCAGCAATTACGTTCATATAACAAACATTACTTCCTAATTTTTCTATACGATACTAACGCAACGATAAAACATTCCGATCGCTCACACAACACCTGTAATAACTCGAGGAAAAATGATTAGAATTCCCTTGGCGAAACGCCCAGGGTCGATAAGGCAGGTCGTTGCCTACATTGCGAAATCAGGCTAAGGTAGTAAAGGTGAAAGGTCAAAGGCAATGGGCTAACACGGATATCGACTCACGGGTGAGATCGAGAGGTCGAGGTAACCCGGTTACAGCCGGGGTGGTGGATAGGCGCGAAAGCGGGTCGCCCTAGAATTCGACTTTGGCGTTTCCGCACACGCGCACTATTTAGCAACACCCTTCACCCATGAAGGGACCCTCCGCGAATGATCCAAGGGCCGAGTCAATTTCCGCTCGATCCTGGGCCAATCCTCCATCGCAGGTATCTATGCAAATAATATAATATAAAAAAAAATATCTCTCAGTACAGAACACAACAATAAGTGTTCCCACAGCGTGACACGCGATGCGTCCGTTGAAAGCGAAACGTTCAAATTTTTAGATACGTCCACGCTACGTCGCGCGACGCTTTTCCACGGAGCCGAGGAAACTCGCTTCTCGCGAGGCTGAGGAGAGCGACAGGTATGTCTGCGCCTTTGTGTCACGTTGATGAGGCTGCACCTCGCACACCCCCGTTTAGATTCGGCCCTGCCGAACGAGAGGTGCTACTGCGCGCTGCCGAGGGTGGTGAGGGTGAAAAGAAGGAGAAAGGAAGAGGGTGGAAAAGAGACGGGAAGAGTGGAAGAGCACGATAGCGCGTACGGTGCGGCTGTCTGCGGCTGCTCGGTCGTCAGTTGGTGATCGTGGATGATCGCACGCACGCTCGGGGGTGACGGGCGCGTCTACATTCGCGAGGAGGGCGATGGAGCCTTCGTGCGTCTCGTTGGCGATCGAGTGAGACGCGCCGTCGTCGAATCGCGTCCCCGTCGCCGTCTCCGTCGCCGTTAGTGTAGCAAGTATCGTCCTCCGTGACCGCGAGTGCACGGACTGGCGAGAGGCAACGCGACCGAAAAAAAGGAGGAAGCAGCCCCCACGAGCAGCGGAGCGACAAAATGTCGACGTACCATTATTTATCGTGAAGGAGACAAGGGAAAGAGAGAGAGAGAGAGAGGGAGATAGAGAAACAGAGAGAGAGAAAGAAAAAAAAGTGAGAAGAAAGATAGGAAGAAAAAAAGAGAGAGAGAGAAAGAGAAAAGAGGGTTAAACACACACAGTGACGATATCTCTCTCGAGTTGTTGGTACGCGCAGTCGTTTTTGCTGTTGTTGGCTGGCTTGATGTCTGTTTCTTCTGTTCTTGTTTTTTTTTCTTTTATTTTGTTTCCTTTTGCTGTATTGCTGTTGCTGCCGCCGTTGAAGCCGCCGTACGCTGCTGCAGCGGTCGCTAGCGACCGAATTGATAAAAAGGAAAAATGACAAATGATATATTCTCGGACGTGTGACCCTTTCATTGTTTCGTTGTGCCGTCTTCGTCGTCGTCGTCGTCGTCGTCGCCGCCGTCGTCGTCGTCGTCGTCGTCGTCGTCGTCATCGTCGATCGTCGATCGTCGCCGCCGTCGTCGTCGTCGTCGTTGTTTTCGTTCTACCTAGACTCCTCCGTTACCCCCGTTACCTTCCGCCGCTCTCCCCCGCTCCGATGTTTCCCTGTCTCGCGCGAGAAAAATGCGAACAGAACAAGAAACGTAAAGAAAAAAGAGAAAATTACATGATTTTCTCCCGGGGGCCACCAGCCAGCCTTCTCTTTTTGTATCACGAGTAGATGACGTATCTCTGTAGTTCGTTCTTCCTTTTAATATCTCTTGCAAATCGTGTTCACACCGCGGACTCTCTTGGTCCCGCGAATACGTATCCACGGATTTCTCTTTCTTGTGTTGAACATATATATATATATATACACATGTATATATACATATATATGTACGCACACGCATATATATATATATATATATATATATATATATATGTATATATCTACTCCAATCTTTATATATTTCTTCGTGTACGCACGCATTGTCGCATGCATGTTACCTGCCTGCTAGACATATGACGACTATATGGTTATATCATCTAAGTCATTCGTCATGCATTTTTAAGAGCCGCGTCGTGCAAGAGTTCTTTCCTCGGCTTCCTCCCCAACAGCTGATTTCTTGCGTGAATAATTCAACGAGCGCGCCGATTGCAACGTCAGTCAACTTTACATGTGTTGCGGTCAATTAGTTAGGCGAACGGTTCGTTGCATTACATGTGACATAATAACTGAACTTCTCATTCTCGGCGAATTCCGTGGCGATACATTTAACCGATTCTTTCTTTTTCTTTTTTCTTTTTTGAGGGAAAGTCGACCAGATTTAATTTGCTGATAAAGTCAGCGAACGTCGTTGAAATCAGCTGTGAGCGATCGAGGTGATCGCGGCCGGGCAGAAAGAGGAGAGGAAAATACACGCGCTTTGTGCATTCAGAGCTTACTGTTTATTTCACCGTCGCTTTTCTCGCTCGCTTTTCTTCGCATGGGCCGTTTGCAATGTATAGTCAAGCACTTTACTTGAATATATAAATATATATATATCCATACACACAGAAACTGCTCTCTCTTTCGACTCTCTTCAGAATTATCGGGAATTATCGTCGATGGTAATGGGACGATTCAGACAAACGCAATTGAAAGCTAATATTTGTGCAGCAACGTCTTGGATTATATAATTCGATTGTGTGTAAATTTCGACTGTGGCTTTACAGATCAATTGACAACACGTATCTCGCCGAAGTATCGAAAATTGTTGTCGCTGCAACGGGACCGAAAAAAGTAATAATCATTTTGTCAAAATGTGCATAAGAATGGAAGCCAACTCGAGCCTGAACGCTGTTGGTTGTGCGTTGATAAGTAAAAGCTCATGTATTTTTAATTAATTTTTTTTAATTTAATAATAATTAATCAAACGTTTCATAATTTCTTTTCTACCGTGAGGGTATCGTCTTTCCGTTAATATACACCGATGTACAAAATTATTCTGCTTGCACGGCAAAGTGTGTACTTAAATCCAGTCTCAACAAAGCACGGATCGAGTCGGATCCATGAGAGAGGATTTGAGGAGAATATTGTTGTACAAAGACAGAATTACAAGAATATATGCATATACGTGGCCACGTATATACCAGCCTTTCTTGTTGTTGTGTTAGAACCATAGATGTAGCAATTAGACGTAAAACTTCGTGACTCTCCTTGCATCGCTTCTAGAGTTTAAAGAGGGACCAAGGCGGGGAGCAAGACATTCTGACGCGAAAGATTGCTGAGAGAAACCAAAATCACCGAAAGATTACCGAAGTGTTCCAAACACATCCGGGATGATCGCAGGACATTTTGCGCTACTTGGGATTCTTTTTAAATTCCCTTCGTCGTTGAACACGTCTTTGTCGCAAACGCACCACGAGGATGAATTGCTCGCTGCATACGTTACAGTACCTTTCCTCGCTTTCCCGAACATCCAGCGAACGCGTAACAATCAACAGAAAGATAAACGCAAGCTCGCGTTACGGACGACGTAAGCGACGTGGTGTGACAAGTATTACACGATGACGTCCGACCGAGACTTGAAAAATCGCCGTAACCCCGAGGGGATGAGAACTGTCGCGTCTCGTCCGCTTCACATCCGCGGGTTGCACGAGTCGTCCGGTGAATAATGCGTTACGCGTTCGCTGATCAGCGGTGATTCGACCCGACGTGAAATGGGCCGCTTTCAACGTGCTTGCCGCATAGCGATTTAGAGATGTAGAGTGTAACGACGGGCGCCGCAGTGACCGCAGCACCGTCACGTTTCTTGCCTCTTCAAAGAGTGGCAAGAGAAAAGAAAGGGGAAGAAAAGATAGTTAGATAGATAGATAGAGAGAGAGAGAGAAAAAGAGAGAGAGAGAGAGAGAGTGAGAGAGAGTGTGAGAGAGAGAGGGAGAGAGAGAGCGAGCGAGAGAGAGAAAGAGAGAGAGAGAGAGAGAGGGGGAGAATAGAAAACGGACAGGAGAGCAAAAGAAAATTTTTTCGGGATAGAAGCGGAGGAGACGAGGGACCTCGTCATGACACGGAGCGATCGTCGGCAGCATGCGACGCGACCATAATTCGTAACGGAAACCCGGGGCGTCAGCCTCTCGGAACTGTTTTGATACGGCCAACGGAGAAGCTGGACAGCTGACCGCGGAGCCGCGATGTACGCCGCGGCGGGTGGTGCTAGCATCGCCAACCGGAGGAAGCAGAAACGGCTGCAGCTGAACAAGCAGGGCGGCGGCGCCGCGACTCCTGTCATCAATGTCGTCCCGCCAAGACTAAAGGGTGCCGCCGGGGCGCGTTATCAGCAGCAGCAGCAGCAGCAGCACTATCACCACCAGCATCAGCATCAGCACCACCAGCACCAGCACCAGCACCAACACCAGCACCAGCACCAGCACCAGCACCACCATCACCATCACCAGTACCAGACCAAGCTCGGCCGGCTGTACCAGACGGTACCGCCGGCGGTGTCGGCGCCGCGAGCGCAGCATCAGCAGCAACAGGCGCCTACGTCGACATCGTCGTCGTCGGCCGCGTTCCACCCGGGTGCCGACGCCGACAGCCGGCACCGTCACCACGCCGACCACCGCAAGTCGTCGCAGCAGCAAGTCGCGCCGCTCTCGCCGATCCAGTTCCCGATCTCGCCGCCCCCGCTCTCCCTCGAGTCCTCGGTGTCCGCCACAACCTGTCCCAACAACAACAACAAGGCCAGCAACTTCCCCTTCCCGCCACCCTCGATCCTTGATCTCCGAGTCTCGCCTCCTACTTCGGAGCCACAGGTGGGTAGCATCGTCGAGAACTCTCTCTCTCCTCGTGACCACCGGGCCTCACCGGGTTTCACACTGTTTCTTTAGTCGCTCTCTCGCCTACAGGTTACATTTACATTTAACCCATCCCCCCACGTTCTTATTTAGTACACCTGTACCCTCACACGCACACAGACACACGTACACGTACGTGTGCACCACACCCCAGCCCAGGAATCACGCAGAGCGAAAAAAATGCGTCACGCAATGCGCGCATTAGGCAGGGAGAACCTGCCGAGATATCGGCTCGAGACATCCCCGGCGATGTTGTCGCGAGCTGCGAGTCGGGACAGGGTGGAAACACGAGACCCGCGCGATCTGCCGCTGACCGGGTGGGGGAAGGGTCGAGTCTTGCTCGGCGAAGACTCTCCTCTACCCTCCTGCCTTCTCGATCTCTCGTCGCGTGGAAATTCTCCCACCCGGTTGGCGTCCAGGTGCCCCGCGGGACACCCCATGTTTGATAAGCAACGTTGCAGCGTCCTTGATCGCCGGACATTTGAATTCACTCTCGCCGGCGCTCACTGAACCGCGCGAGACGACCATCGCTTTGAGAGGCTCGCCTCTCTCCTGAAGCGATCTCTCTTGGTCATCCTCTCGACTCGCCGGTGATCTGATCTCCAGGTCTGCTACATCGCTAAGGGCCGGTTGTTCCGACTCCTCGGTAAGTTAACTGACAGTCAAATCATATGTCTGTCTTTGTGTCAAATTGAAGAAAAAACAAAGATAAATATGTGATTCTAAGTAAGATTCTTGGTAAGTTAACCGATAGTAGTTAACTATCAGTTAACCTACCAAGACCTACCTGGAACAATCGGCCCTAAGACGAAAAAAGGAAACAGCGGAGTTTCTCTTTCTCTCAAGTAACCGATCCGTAATCGCCGAGGTCCACCCCGACTGTCCCGCTCCATCGCTTGCGCGTACGCATCGGTCTCTCCTCCCGGGCGGTCGTGATCTCTGCCGAATGCGAGCACCGACGATTTTATTAGATTGACAAGGATTGCGAACTCACTCTATCGCTTTAGTGCGACTCACCTTCACTCAGGCGTATATTGCTCCCTCTGGTTGCACCATATCTCTTTTGCCGGCACCTCGTGCAACATATATAGCAAATAGCATCGATCGGCTGTCTGGTGGCGTATAACACGCGATAAACCTATCGAGCTGAGTAAGAAAGAGAAAGAGAGAGAGAGAGAGAGAGGCAGAGAAAAAAAGAGAGAGAGAGAGAGAGAGAGAGAGAGAGAGAGAGAGAGAGGAGACGCCGGATTCTCCACGTCCGAACATCTCCTCCGGCCGACTCACAGGTCGGCTAAAGGCTCGCAATGTAATTTCAGTACAGGGTGAAACATGCCTTCCACGAAACCCGACGGGAAACACGAACAGCGATCGATGCCGCTGATGGCAGGTAGCGCGATGTTAGGTGTAGATCGTTACGCACGATATCGATCAGGATCGATGGCGGATCTTTGAGGTGGACTCGAGAGAGTGCTCTCTCTTCACGTTATCGGGGAACGAGGAAGAGACGGGGAGAAAGAGAGAGAGAGAGAGAGAGGAGAGAGAAAGAGAGAGAGCGAGAGAGGGGGGAAATCCGGAGAACAAAAAGCACCGACGATCAAGCGACAGGCAGTGTCGGCGAAAACGGAAGGTCGGACCCTCGACAATCGATAATTTACGCAAATGAATGAGCGGAATGCAGGCCGCTCTATTGATTAGACGTGAAAAACAGCGATTACGGGGGGGTAAGGTGGTGAATTTTAGAGAATTACCTTCCAACTTCGCCACCAGACTTATTCCGCCGCTTCCACGGTATCCCCCACGATCTTACGTGTACGGGGTAAGTATCAAGCCATGACGTAAAACTCGCCTTCGCCGGCCGCGCCGAAGGGCGCGCGAGATCTCTCGGTCCCCTCGCGTGAATACCGTAGATTAGCGTCGCATTGTGTTATACGCGGCGGGCTTCTCCCGGCCACCGCAACCCCCGCGGGTATCGACCACACGACATACGCATATAATACGCTTCGACGTTGCTTCGAGCTTCGATCGCGGTTTGAGGGAATCGGTCGCACCCACCAGCTCCAGCAGGCTGAGCGCGGGCGATCGTGATCCACCAGGGTGAAGCTCATGTCTCCTCGTTTGTCGCTTCTACCCGCCTCGAAATGCGACTCGACGCTCATTCTGTTCATTCATATCACGCACGAGGCTGGGCATCGAAGGGCTGCAGGAGACGCAGGACCTTGCGCGGCCACGTTGGACTTTCGCTCCAGAGAGTCCCGAATACACGTGTCTTTCTCACGGAAAGTTTGCGCAAAGTGTATCGGTAATTTTCAGTCGGTACAATGCAAAAAATAATAACATATACAATACACGTTGCGCAATGTATGTAATGTAACCGAAGGAGAAGGCACGTTGAAGAGAAGGAGAACGCGCTGAAAACAAAGGAAACAAAGAGAGACGAAAGAAAACAAGTTTGAAACGACGTTCTCGAAAAGTGCGATCTGGAAAGGAAGAGAGAGAATAAAGGCGAACGAGAGCCAAGCGTCGGTCTCGATTGTACACACCGACTGATTATTGTGCTTCTCGCTCGCCTTTGTTCTCTTCCTTCCAAGGGACGACGAAAGTACTCGGAACGTATCGAGTAATCGCATTAACGGAGGACCACAGGAGACCGTCGCAAAAAGCGATTCGTGTTGGAATCGCCCTCGAGAGACTACTCTTAATGATATATCTGAGAGTCACATATTTCAGTGCGGCGGTCAGGGACCCGGCGGTAAGGCAGCATGGCAAGGGTGCAACAGGCCTTCGCTTCCCCTATCGCCCACATCGCCCGGTTGTCGCGGAGAGGGTTACAAGACGAAGCAGTGCGAGGCGCATCGGCGATGGATGAAGAGGAACAGGGTAAGTGTCTCAAAAGAAGTCAACCGCGGACTGAAGAGAAGTTTTCACTCGTACGTTCTCCATCGCGTCGCGTTACAATCCAAGATGCCCGGCAAGATGCCGAGTGATTTTCTTCAAACAGTTGGAGATGATCGGTCGACTTGATTGATGAGCAACAGCGCGCACGAAATCCTGTTGCAGATACGAGACGCCAGTTACTGCTACGGCAGCAGCGGCGAGGACGAGGAGGAAGATGACAGCAGTAACGCCGTTCGCCACCGGGGAGAGGTCAGCGCGGCGGTCAATACCGTGCTTTATGCGGGCTTAGGGACCACGGCGCTCGGTTTAATAATCTCGTTCGTCGGCACCGGGGAGAAGGGCTTCCTCAGTCCGGAGCTCAGGCTGGTCGGTCCATCGCTGCTCTGCGTCGGGCTGCTGTGCTGCCTGTTTCGCGTGCTACTGTGCCTCTGCCTGTGCCGTTGCGGCTCATGCCGCTGGCGGTTCTGCCAGGTCGCCTCGCACAAAAAGGAGAAGGCGAGGAAGGCCGAGGCACGGCCCACGGGGACGTTGTCGACCGCCTCGTTGTTGCCGCCGGCGCAGCAGGAGCATCAGCAACAGTCGCAGCAGCAACAGCGACATCACCAACAGGATCGGCAACCGACAGCGCCTATGAGCCGTTCAGTGTCGCCGGCGACGAAAGGACACGAGCTCCTGCTCTCGCCTGCCCAGTTGCCGGAGTGAAGCGGCCGCGCGCGCGCGCGCGCCGCGGCGCGAACGAACGTTTTTTACGAAATGAATTCTATAAACGCCGATCTACTGCCGGTTCTCGCCCGACTCACTCGATCTAGTCTACCCGGTCGCGGCCTGAATCGTTCTCTCTTCTCTATCTCGCAGACTCTCAGCGCATCCTGAAAAAAAAAGAACAAAAAAAAAACAGCGTAGCCTCTAATGCGTTTCTCTAGAGCTTAAACAATAGAGGAATAAAGGAATCGGCCATGTTTTCTACCCTTTTGTCGTGTACGAAGAAGTAAAGGAACCATCACACGTCGTCGACGGGTCGACTCTCTCGCAGAAACTCTTCATTTATTTGCGTCCGTGCTTGATACAAGTTGCTTCGTCGAAAAGGTTTCTTTTCTCTCGCTTACAACGCTTTGTCGCGCTACACCGCAGCGCGGCAAAGCGTTCTCGTATCATTTCGATTCTTTTCGTGCGAGTCGTCACATTCGGAAATTAAAGTATATAAAGTACTTCGCCGTTACCCCCAAATCGTGTCTCTCTGCCGCAAGGTCAGTTTTGTACGGCAACGATGCGAAGTTGTCTTCGTGTCCGTGATCTCACACGTCACACAGTGTGTCTTAGAACAAATATATAACGATATCACTTTAATTCGCAGTAATCAGGTAAGCTGAAACTGCATTTGTTCGTTGGAAGAGTAACTATAAATGACCGGTGTAGCATCGGCTGTGGTAGCGCCGGGCGCCGTCGCAATGGCAAATATCGATTCGTCGTAAATGGTGGTCTGCGGCTCCGTTTTGCCATTGCCGGCGATCGGCCCGGTGGTGGGTGGGTTGTCGCCTTTTGTTGCCTCGCGGTACTTCTGCAGATACATCTTCAGCGGCTCGACGTAATTGTCGAAGCCGAGCGTGGTCATGGCGAACAGAATGTCCTCACCGTTGATAGTCTTACGCTTCTCCATGTGACACCTGTCGCTCGCCTCCGAAGTGATGAACGAAATAAATTCAGACACACACTCCTGTACACACTCTCGTGCATCTTTAGCTATTTTGCCGGATTCTGGAATGGCTCGTTTCATAATTTTTGCGACGTTCGCTATCGGCAAGAAGCGATCCTGCTCTCGAAGAGGCACACTACTACCGGTACCACCAGCGACCTGCAAGGGATCCCCGGTACCATGGTTGGAGTCATCTGTGTTCTCAGGGTCATCTGTTTAAAGAGAAAAAGCATTTGTTAAAAATTATGTATATTATTACAGTCCCGAGAATATATGGAATTTGTTTGCAACTTGTGGTGATTTACAGAGAATTGACGATGTATATAAATATGCTACATCAATATAAAAATATCAATCTTTTAATAAATATATGCAATCAATATATATATATATATTTGTACTTTCACATATTCCAATTAGAGTTAGAAACATATAAGCGGAGATAGAATTGAGTATTTTCGACTATGCTATACTTTCTCATAGAATATTAATCTATAATAAAGATAAAGAATATGATAAAACCAATAACATGTTTGGAGAAAAATGATCATTTGTATTCGTATAAAATTGGTAATGGAAAGGATATATAAACATGATTTATTGTTTATCTTATTATTATTCATCTACTTGCTATATTTTTCTTATCTTATCATCTACATCATTTGTTTATTTAATGTATTTATATTAGTTTATTAAATATTTTCATCTGATGTATAACTCCTTAGTAAAATGCTCCAAAGTCATAATAAATATGTCCAAAGTGTTCAGAGAAACATTCTAAAACATCCTAGAATTCTAGAATTTAAGACATTCTAGAATGTTCAAGAACACTCTGTACATTTTGTGCCAATGTAGATTCAAAATATTATGTGTTACCTCATTACATCAATCAGTATTTAGAGTTAATAATATATTGCATTATTCGTCACAAAAACACTTGTTGCAAGTTATTTAAGCAACCATTTAAGTGAAATCAGTAATATCTCGGTGTTTGTACTTTTTCTGCTGAAAGCAGCTTATCATTTGATGCTGTTTTTATAATGATTTTTATACTGCTTTTATATTGATTTTGCTTTTATATTGATTTTCTACTTATACTTCCTTATGGATTTCTTAATCTTCCGTGGCTCAACGAGGCACATAATATATACGTGGAACATATAACGGATTAAGAATAAACGATTAGTGCATCTGGAGTTACAACAAAATCCGCATAAACCATAATTTTACCGTAACCACGCTACGCTAACCTACCTTCCATATCGTCCGACTGAACACTGATGTAAGACGCGGACACGTTGTTTCCTCCCAAAAATGCCGTAGTGCCTAAAGGGCCACCGTCGTCTCCGCTTTCGCTATTCTCCATTGTTCGGCAAGAATCGTATCGAAAATAAATCAAATTCTTTGTATTCTCTTAACCTTTTCCTCCCTTTGTTTTTACGCCTACGTAAACCTACGTCCTTCATTGGCCCAGCCAACGTACGAAGTGAGTCATTTAATCGTAATTGCCAACCTACGGCATAGGCTATTGGTCTGTTCTTCTTAGTTGCACTACTGAACTGGTGCAATAAGTTAAGCCAGCGGCACACGGTGCTTGTTTTCGTGCTGGATGAAAATACTGCGTTCTGATTGGTACATTTCCGAAGATGGATGGAAATATACTAATCAGAACGCAGTATTTTCATCCAGCAAGCAATCCAGCACGAAAATAAAGCCAGCGGCACACGGTGCTTGTTTTCGTGCTGGATTGCTTGCTGGATGAAAATATTGCGTTGTGATTGATACATTTCCGAAGATAGATGGACTTCCACCATATGCAGATTTTACCACCGAGACCTGAAAGTAGATGTACTATCGTAGTTCGCCTCTCAAAATGGATGCAGATGGCGTCCTTTCCCAGTGCGGAAAGTCGGTGTCACAGAAAATGTCGTGTTGGCCGCTTTCAGGTTTCTCTCTGGTTAAAGTGAGAAAAAATATAGTTGTCTCATTCTAACTTATTGCACACTAGTTCCGCAGTGCAGCTAAAAAGAACAGTTCCAAGAACCAAGTGTTCCAAAATTCACTGCCAGTAGTGAAAATACATAGTTTGTGTCACGTATATTATAGATCTTCAGTGCTGGCAGTGAATATTGGAACGCAGCCAGAATGAACTTTGTTGTTTAACGAGATTATCGAAATAATCGCTAGATGGCGCCAAATAGGCCGTCGATTAATTTATCTAGTCGAAGGCCAAGTTGCACCAACATTATTTTAGTTTTAAACGAGATTTAAATATAAGTCCATCTTTATTCTCCTTTCTAAGTAAATAAAGACAGATGCATACTTAAGTCGCTTAAAAGCAAAATAATATTAGTGCAACCGGACCGGAGTCTGGCTATTAGACCCATTATTTCAACTTTAATTTTAATATCATACTCCTTAACGATTGGTCAGATGCAGTTTTATTTTATGAAAATGAGTAAAATATAATCTCCCGTTTTGGTTTCATTTACTTTTTCATCTGCGCCATGCAGGAGTATCGAATATCGAAACAGATCGAATCGCATTGAATTGAGTGCAGCATATATAACGCAATACGACGTGCAAATTCAACATATCTCATCTTGCTATAGATCGAGTGAACGTTCGGCGTGAACCGCGCTTGCACGATTGCATTGTCTTATCATCGACATCGTTAAACGACAGAAAGGACGTAGAAAAGAAATTTGGTTGAAGCGTGTTGTCAAGTGACAAGTTTATGAGAAACAAAGTGCAGGATGGAAAGTGAACAACAACGACAACAGAGTAGTAACGTGTCGAAACCAAAGGATAGGTTAGTCGGCCTATTGGATCAAATTGAGGTGCACGTAGAACAATTGAGAAAAGATGCTTCTAGACTCGAGGAGGAAAAGGATAGTCTGCTAACGACCTTGGATACTTTGCGGAATAATGACATCCTGTGTACTCTCGAAGAATGTGAGTAATTTAATTAGTCTTCATTGTCGCGATCGATTTGGAAAGCTCTAGAATCACGCTAAAGAATACATAGCATTCCATGACATAGTAGCTTTACAATATCAAATAGCAAAAGCAGAAGAAGATAACAGAGAGAAGGAAATGAAAATGGAGCCTGTCTTCTTCTCAGCCGTATTTTCTATAATTTTGTATTGTCCTTTCTTTACCTTCTACTAAATCTCAAATATATATTTTATTTTAAATGTAGAGAGACTATTACGTATAACATTATGTATTAAAAACAGCAAATTTAATACAAGATGACTAAAGTATTTTTCTTTATTAACAAGATGATTATTCAGATAAGAAATTATTATTATCATGATACCAAGCACGATATTAATAATGATTTAATAGGAAACAATACTAATAATGTAGCAATATTTCAGTATATGGAAATATATATCTCTCAAAAATATATTATTCTCATAAAATACATATCTAACTCTCTTTGTAAGTTATTATAATATCATTGTTTATAATAATATACATGTTTTTTCCTATACAGCTGATAGGGATGATGTCTTAAGGTATGCCGAGAGACTATCCATGCGATGTTTGACTGTAGATGTATTAGTAAAAGTCCAACGTGACCATATACAGCAGGAAGCGCTACATCAAGTATTTAAAATTCTGCAAACATTTTATATAAAAGCATTGCAAACATTACAAGTAATTCACATACTGTGGTTTTGTTCCAGGTTAACGGCTTAATTGATGGCTTGGTTGTGGGTTTGCGTCAAGATCCCAGTGCTACTCGGCAAAGGTGTGCAGAATTTATGAATGCGTGTTCCTCCCATGGTACAGGACATTCTGATAAAACTTTTGAGACTGCCATTCTCGGATGTACAATGGACGATCAGAAACGTATAAAGAAGAGGCTGCAGGGACTCCTAGACTATATAGATAAGATGCACATTTTGGAGTTACAGTGAAATCATGGTCGAAGAAATGAAAGAAATCATGTAACAGATAAATCTAACGATGTTTGCGCATTTTCTGTGTGGATTTCAGACGACAAGTTTTCTGATAAAGCTAAGACACTTGTACTTACAACAGAGACCTGATGATGATGTTATCTTGATGATTGTAGCAAATTTAGGAAAGAATACTTGGACGTATCTCCAGCAAATTACATTCGTTGCATCTCCATTATGTGGCTACGACTTATCGATCATCTCTTCACTTGACAAGTAAACTATTATGTGAAACTACTCTACTGTATGTATAGAACAAGCAACTGGATTTAGTGACATAGCAGATAGGATGCTGTCAACAGTATCTTCCAGTTCAAGATTTTAAGAAAAAAGTTACCTTAAGACACATTTAACATCCCAGCGCACCAGCAAAAAGGTCTATCTTTAGTCAAAGGAAGTGATGTCTGACTGATGATGGTTTTCCAATGCATTGTATATTTCAAAGTAATGCGAAGTTTCCAGAAATGTTATACATATAAAAAATATTGAATTTTCATATTACACGATAGTGTAACATTTTATACAAAGCAAGTAGCAGAGTGCTTTTTCGCTGTTTGCCTATTTATCTTAATTCAAGCATCAATCAGAAAGCGATTCTTTTTCTTTGAATTTCTTTTATTTGAAGTCGAAAACTAAATCTCTATATCTTAGAAACTTCGTAATAACAATCCGACACTTGTGTGCGTTCCCAAGTTTGAGAGTATCTGCTCTTCCCTCTTTTTCCTCTTTCATTCGCATTGTGCTAAGCATTAGTTATGCCTCGGGACGTTCTTGCGTTTCCTTTGATAGCGCTTCAATATCAGAGATTTATTTCATTTTTATCAAAATGTACAAAGACTTATTGTGTTCTGTAATAATTAAATACAATAAAAGTACGGCATACGATAGATCTTAAGTCAACTTACTGTAAACGCTCTTGTGGTAAGGTCGCGATTTGTACTACTAACTCACGTATGTCCGGGATGCATTTCCATTTCATTCGAGTCCGGCTTAAAACTCCGCGTTTGGAAAGTCGCGTCGACGCTTTCTCCGTCGTAGTCGCACAAATTGCATAGTAAGAAGGAGCTTAATCGATCTCGACGCGCCGCTTTTGTAAATAACTGTTATTGTATTGTTATTGTTAGCGTTATCGTCATTATACCGTGATACACTGTTAATATGTTCGCGTTACGCAATCCACATTGCCGTACAATTTAATGTGTGTGTGTGTGTGTGACGCGAGCGTTGAGGAAGATAGAAAAAAAACTACAAGAGAGAAAATAAGAAAAGAGAGACCGATCATAATTCGGCAATTTGCAAACTGCGCTTCAAAAGCGCATATTCTGTCGATCGTTCCCCGTTCGCAGCCGCACGATCGTGTAGTTCATACGCAATATTAATCTCTCTCTCTCTCTCTCTCTCTCTCTCGTGGATTACACTTATGCGATCTGCAAAATCATTTGGTTAACATTACCGGCGTATTAACTCTCTGCTTCGTATAAATTAACGAGTTCTGGATGTCGGAGCGTAAGAGCAGCACTTACTCTCACTCTCGCAGTACATGCGACCGTTCCTCTCTGGTAACACCAGTCCAGTTCGCACTTTAGTTGGCCACTGTAAGATCACCGTTTCTGCGCATATACGGAATAAACTATGTATATTTACAACTATCACCGCGTACGAGGCACCACTGACACGCACAACTTCCAGCACGTAACGTGTGTCGGTGTGTGTGTGTGCATTTTGTATGAATGTATGTGTGTGCACGCGCGTCGTGTGTAACGTTACACGAAAGAAATCGCTACAAAAGTCTGCAAGCGTTCTTCACGAAATTCCGCTTCTTGTGGCTCTTCGTCTTGCCGCCCGGTCGCAGAATTATCGTGCCGTTACCGGCGTTGCGGCCGCACATCGAGCCGTCCGGATTAAATGCACCTACGGCAAAATAGCGGAGACGTTATGTACCTGGAGCAGGTGGGTCGGTCGACATTAAAAAGCGTTTGTTAATCTGCCCAGACTCGACAGTTTCACGAAGACCCGTATCAATAGCCGTCACTAGGAACTGCTCTCATGTGAGATAATAATAACGCAATCGCGATTCAATAAAAACGTTACATCCTTTAGGATCAAACCAGAGTTTGCCTCGCTTGGGGCAAGTTTCAAGCAACGGCTATTAAAATATTGAGACTTCGTTTTTCTTCTAAATCCTCCAAATCCCGATAATCTTTTGTATCCAACGGTCTCACTCATCTCTTCTCTTTCCCTGCAGCGACGTCGTCCGGGAGACAGACGGACGCGCTCTCAGCGGAGTAAAGCAACGCTAGAAGAATCACATTCCACTCACTGATGACTGCAGGAGACCTGGGCTCCGCGGAGTACAGTCGCAGGTCGTCCTGATAATCGTCGTCGGAGCGGCGCATCTCGTGCAGACATCGTGACGCCAAATGTCGGAAGACGCTCATCACGCCGATGTCTTCTTTCACAGACGTTCGCAGGAGTTTGCAGCCCAAGGCGCGGCCGAGTCTCTCGGCCTCGTCCCTGCGGTACACCGAGGTGGATCGTTTAGTCGACACGAATCGACATAGTCTTAATTAGAAAGACACGATCGAGAGGAGAGAGAAGAGAAAAAGTAAAGAAGACTACTCACGGATCAATCACGCATTGGTCGACGAGGTCGATCTTATTTTGCACCAGGACCGTGGGGATCTCTCCGCACTCGTTCTCCACCTACGAGGAGCAGACAAAACTTCACAGAGAGAAAATCCTCCACGCGATTTTGACACATTCGCTACCAATTCGAAAGATTGCCTCGCCACAGACTATCCCTATCTATCTCTATTTTTATGCAATGTCTCTCCTTTTTACGCAATGTCTCTCCTTTTTACACAATGGTGTAAAGCAGAGTTTTCTTAATTTGCTTATATGGTACTCGAGTGAAAAATGATCGCTGTCAAAGTCGAGCGGACGAAAAACGAGGTGGCTCCGTATACCTTAAGCTTCCACGACGGAATCGCGTCGAAGGAATCCCTGTCGGTGGCCGAGTAAGCGAGGACACAGGCGTGAGCGCCGCGATAATAAGCCGCCGTAATCGCGTCAAACTCCTCCTGCCCCGCGGTGTCCCACAGCATCAGTCTCACATCCTCGCCGTCGACTCTGTCGGAATGACACATGTAACGTATCGATCGATTTATTTTTACAGTTTTATGCTCAGTTATTCATCACGTCTGCTCGGCGATATTTCATCCGTCGAGAGCATACACGAGAGAGATGATATTATGCTTTTGGTATTTTTTCGCCAAGAAACACGTGATCAATTCTGCTGAGGAACATTATACGGAAGATGAGGCAATAACCCGATGGATGTTTCCTCTCAGAATATACAGCGCATCCTGCGTATTTCATTTAAGAAAAAAAAAATAAAAATGACCTTCGGATCCTCGAGGCTACGTCGAAAAAAGTCTACAAAAAAGAGAGAGAGAGAGAAGAAGAAGAATGTGGGGAAAAAGCGTTACCGCCACGAGACGGCCGCTTCGGTGTCGTGTAATTCCAGTTAGACCAACGTCTCTCCTACTCGGGAAGACGTTCAACGTGGTAATTGTTATTACCTCATATTGTATATATAAATATACACACACACACATATGTATATATATTTTTTTCAAGTACTGGGCTCTGGTTCCTAAAATATAAGCAGCGTGCATAAAACGGAAGGAAAGGAAATGAAGGCAGGATGTGCCGGTTGCAAAATCCCACAGTAATTTCGCCGCTATGAAATTCTGCCCGTGTGCGGAGCGCGCAGGTCTCGTTAGAAAAATTTCACTCGTCGTTTACGCGCAGCCCCGAGTCCTCTAATTTCAGTGCCGATTAATTTCAGGTTTCTCGCTAGTCTCAGCTTTAATTGGAACGCTGCCCGCAAATTACGCGACCTACCGGCGAAGCGAGTGACTGATGGATGCCGAAGCGCGTGGCATGCAACGAGAGGGACGAAATCTCCTTTTCATATTGACCGACATTACACATCCCCGGCCGGGGGGGGGGGGCGTCCGGTGGGGGATACGAGAAGTATCCCACGATACAGCTCGCGCCGGCGCGATTAAAATCGGCTCTTTCTCAGGCACCGTCGTTCGAGCTCATGTGCATGCACGTAGCGGTATAATAATCAGCGGCGAATAATCAGCTCGGCGTGCAATAATCGAAGCGGCTTAACTTAACGCGTAGCGTTAGGTCAGCGCCGGTCAGCTAGCTACTTCAGCGAGAAATATTCGCGGAATTCACGGCGAAAATGGGCCAACCCTTCGATGAGCGAAAATAACGAACGATTGATGAGCGTTTAATTAATAAACGTCACTAATCAGCCCGGCGTGCGATAATCTAAAGCGACTCGCCGGTTGGCTCTCCCCGCCAGCGGGAAATATTCGCGAAATCCGGCAAAAATGGCGTGAGTCCGATCGGTGGACAAGTAACGAGCGATTGATCAAAGATTCCGCGAAATTCGCCGTCGATTTAGCCGGGCTTTTCTCTCTCGCTGCGCGAATGACGCGCTCGTTGAATAGTAATTTTCAGCGTAGCGCGACACGATATTGCCGGTAATTCACTCACTCGATCTCACGCTCCAGGAAGTCAACGCCGATGGTCTTCTTGTAATCCCTCGTGTATGTGCCTTTGCAGAACCTTTGGATCATCGACGACTTCCCCACGGCGCCGTTGCCTACTATCACCACCTGAGCAAGAAATGTTAAATCGCGCGTCAGATGTACCGTTCATTAAGGGGGCATCGAGCAGGAGAGCATCCATTAATCGAGAGATCTGAGCGTCGCCTCGGCTTATATCAAGTAAATCTCGATAATTCCGCACGATTCTGTGATCAATCTCGACGTAATTTCGTCTATTTGCAAATCGCCCCGCGAGTAAACTAGACCACAAGAGGCTCTTAAGACTTGCAGTCGAGGAAATTAAACGAGCGCGTGGCGAATGAGAGCCCGAGCGGCAATAATTCAATTAATCGGTGAAACCGAGTGCAATTATTAATCGCCGTCTCGATATGATTAACGATTGCTTAATTGGCTTCACCAATTAATCGCGGTTCACTGATCCGTCACCAGCGCTCTGCCTCTCAGCCGCTCCGTTGAATCGCTTCATTTGTCTCGACTTCGGTTCGGGAGAAATGCTGAAAAAACCAGTCTTTAATTAATATTTTTTCACGGCGGAGACCGAGAACCCTTCGATTTCACGTCAGCAAGTGCTCTCGAGAACTCGTTCGCTCCTTGCAGATCCACACGATGATAGCGACGAGGACGGTCGATCGATCGATTCGCGGGCCGAATAATTTCACCGAATACGAGCGACGCCGCGAGTGCCGGGCGAGGTAGGAAGTGGGTTACGCCGATAATAAAACGAGGAATAAAGCAAGACGCAAGTCCGCGGAAGGAAAAAAACCGGTCGTCACGAGGACGGTCTCTCGCTTCAGCGGACGCGGTTTAGAATGTACACCGACACATGCGTAAATCATCGTACGGCGAGGAATCTCTGGAATGCTCGTTGTATCCGCATCGAATCGGCACGACGTTGAAGCGGCCGACACACGTCGTGAGTGAGTGAGTGCGGCGGAATTAATGTCGATTTAACGCCTTCGGACTTCTTTCACGCGCGCATCCTCATCCTGATTTATCCATCCGGTGGTCGCGGGGAGTACTCTCGTATATTTCTATACTTTGCGTTCGACTGCTTTCAACGTGTCGCGGCCGCGAGAGGAGCGCAGGGTGGTCGGAAAGCGCCGGGGACGCCTTTCCAACGCGCAGTACCTCCGTTAATTCGAGATCGGCGGATGTTGACGGCTTTCTAGCGATTAGCGACCGAAGGCAGACGATTTTTTGCGAGCTCGCTGCCTCGAGATCGAAACGTCGCCGAAACGTCGCCGCTCGTCTCGCCTGGTCTCGACTGGGACTGATCTGAATTTTAAGCGGACTTGCAGAGACGTCTCAGCGATCGGCCTTGAAATTTGCCGAGACACTCGGATTTGCATTTACGATATTAGTCGAATTGGACGCTCAGATGTGGAGACGATCATTATAATTAGAATTGTTTGTCATCAGAGCGTTTCGCAGTCAGGACCTAGACACTCTCAACCTTTCATTCGAAAATTCAGATTCGCGGAGATTAATTTAGATTCGAATGCAGAGCTCGACTTCTGCACGAATTTTGCCAGTTAAATCGCCATTACTGATGTGTCCCGGGTGAAATTCAATCAGGCTTTGACTCCAAGCTCCGACCCGAGTGTCTCACATGAGACAAGCTTCAAGCAACGGTTGTTAGTACCGTTCTTGATCGTACGAAGATACGTCATGACGAAAATGTTTCAGACGCGGCGCTGATCCTCCCGTCGGAGAGACGTCACCTCCGAGCGAGATAAGAAGTCTCCGACCGATGAGACCGCGGCTAGAAGAAGAACGGCCGTCGCGGTTCCGGCACACCCTGTACAAATAAGAGGAAAGGACACAAACGCCCGACGGTGGAAGGTGCATACATACGCGAGAATGAAAATGCGAGCGAGTACCGTTACGGCAATCGCCAGATAAGCAGAGAGATCACTGGAGCAGCACCGAGCTCTCGCGTACCGGCGATTGGCGGCGCCCCGCGGCTCCTTCGCCTCTGTTTTGAATTCGCCACCTTTCGTCCGTCATTGCGAAGTGCCCGCGTGCTCGCGAGATCTCCGGGCGATCACACCAAATGGAGATTCTCGTCGGGGACGAGCCGCTGTGGCAGGCATCGAAATTAATATCGAACGTTATATTATGCGCGGGCTCGTGAGCAACGTCCGATGATATATACATCCTGCGCGTCGCAGCCAAATGAAGCGAGTGGACGTCGTCGCCCGACGACGAGTGTGAAGGTGATTTGCATAGAAATACCGCGGCAGGACGGGCGAATTTGCGAGTCAATATCTCAGACGAACGAGTAAACGGTTCAGTCGCAGAGGTAAACCTCTGCGTCGCGTATTAATAGTCCTTGCTCGAGACTCGTTTCGCGTGAGATACTCAGACCTGAATGCAGACTTGGATCTGAATCTTTTTATTCGAGGATCGCGTGATACATGCGATACGTTACATTAGCGATCGTTAGGCTAGGTTTCAGCTAGCGTCTGAACGTACACAGTTAGGTCCGTGTGTCTTCTCATTTGAATCGCGTTTAAAGCGTATGATTTACGTCGACGTCGCATTCGCGATCGCGGATCAGTTGAGAAACTCGCATCTCTAATTCCGAAGTCCACACGCAGAGAGATCGCGTCGCGTTGTAATTTCTATTTTTTACTCCACGGGGACAACCGTTCCAGCGGAAGACGTCGTCGTCGGGTAGCCGGCAGCTGGCGGGAGCAAAGACGAGAGCGAAAAACGCGCCGGTCAATCTCCGTCCGGACGCGGAATAATTCCCCGCCGAGTATCATCGCTCGGCACGAACGGGGCTGCGTGGAAGAAGCTGCCGTCCTGCTCCTTTTTCCTTCCTCTTTTTGCCACTCGCCGGAAAATCGTGGCGCGTGAGGATGAGAGACGCGGCGCACGGAGCGGCTGAATAGAAGAGAATAGAGAGAGAATAGAAAAGGGGAAACCGGCCAGACCCGGAGGATCCGCTCGTTCCAGCGGCGGCATCACGGCGCGCGCGTGTCCGCCGAACTTTCGGGACACGATAAGGACACCGTGGCTCGCGCGGCGGTTCCGAAGGCGAGACCGGAATGAAAGAGAAAAGTGAAAGATCGCGCGGCGAGCGTGTACTCACGGAGCGAAAAAGAAGCGCAGCGCAGTCACGCGATTACCTTGAGTGATATCTCGAGCTCTTCCTCCCGCATCCTGAGCGCAAAGCCAATTAGCATAATATCCCACTACACCACCACGAATTCATGGTCCAATCGATCCGATCGGCCTACGTGTGAAACGCGGATCACCGTGGATCCGCTCGCGCGTGTGAAAACTCGACTTTTAACCGAAAGCGACGGAAGAATCTTGGATAGAGAAAGAGAGGGAATAAAAATGAGAGAGAGAGAGAGAGAGAGAACCAAACGAGAGAGAGAGAGAAAGAGAGAGAGAGAGAGAGAGAGAGAGAGAAAGAGAGAGATCTCACCTCTCTCTTCTCGGTATTCCCGAGTCGATGACTTTGCGCCTCAGCCGAGTCATTATTCAGAGCTCCGACGAGCACACGCATCGCGTCTCTCTTCTCGTCACTCGGCACACCACTCGCGTAACTCTCTTCCTTTCTCTCTCTCTCTCTCTCTCTCTCTCTCTCTCTCTCTCTCTCTTCCTTTTTCCCTCTATCGCCCCTTCTTTCCCTCGTGTGGACGGAGAAAAGTTTCTTTCCCGCGGAGAACGGAGAACAAGCACTCGCGAAGGAGAAGAGATTTCTTCGTCGTTCGTCGCGGATAGCACGGAAAATCGAACACGCACGCACGCACGCACGCATGCACGCACGCACGCACGCACGAATGCGCGCCGCTCTGACCACTACTGGCTGACTGAACACCTGTATGGCAGGACCCGAGACACCTGTCGCCGACGCCGCGCCGCTCTGGTGACTTTACATACACCTAGTGAATCGCTCGGCCCGCAAGGCACTAGAGCAGCCATGTCGAGCTCCTGTGCTCGTTACGTCTCTTCGCTTCTCCACCACTTCGCATTTCGCTCGGGCGCGTCAGCGTCGTCGTCGATGGCCGGCGTTGATTCGATGGGAAATTTAGCCGATTCGAATAGTCAAACCGCTCCGAGTGGCAAAGCTCACCCCCGATTTAGAAAAAGCCACGGATATCTTCCGGGCACAAAATGTCCCGCAGACACTTAACCGGCGGCGATAAGAATTATCTACATGCACGCTCTCGCGCACGAGTATTTAGCCGATTCGCACCCGGTGAAATCAGTACTCGAGTGATTTTACTTTCGCAGACAAAACTCTTGCGTTTATTTCGCTCTCTGGTCTCAGTCTCCGATACATCCGTCACGCTTTTACCGGCGCCCGTCGCAGGTTCTCCATCGTGTCGTGTCGATTAGACGGGAGAATCGCTCCTTCTCTCAAACGGTCGGGAGAAGGAGAGAAAAACAAAGGGCTCGCCTGGATGAGGATCGACAGTGAGAGTAAACTTTCGTCCGTTTTGTGCTTGTAATCTCGTTGCATAATGTTTCATTATTATAATTCTCGTTATCGTAATCATAGTCTCTTTATCTTATTTATTTCTTAAACGTACTTGTCACAACTTCATGACGCCGCGCGTTAGCTCTCGGCAATCTTACAATTCGGCGGGAACCTGCGAATAGTCGTGTCGAAATGCAAAATCACTCGCTGTAATATCTTATTACACAAATATATGATGCATATATCTTCTGCTCGATTGAAATCTTTCACGGGAGGAAGGGGGACGCTTAAGATAAGAAAACAAAAAAAGATACAACTTGGGTGATGCAAATCGTGCTTCTCGCCGCTTGATCGACGATCTCTCGAGAAACCGACAAAGATATGCCTTAGCGAAAAGTTCGTCGCGTGTCTCGTTAATGGTTCCGCCTGGTAAGCATACATTCTCGAAATTTACGATTAATTTGGTACCATTAACACAGCTCTGACTTTCGAACAGAATATACGGATGCTTGCTGACGCTGTATTTCTTACAAATATATGTATATGTATATATATATATATATGTATAAGACAAGGCTCGTGTATACGACGAGCGCGTGCCTTGTAAAATTTGCATCAAACTTCGGAGGCGCATTCTCTGACGAGATGGAGCTTGACCTTTCGGCATTTCGAGCGTGTCTACATTAAAATACAGCGCGATGTTGTTCTCCGAGAATCGATCTTCGAATCGTAATCGTCGCGAGGAACTCGAGGTAGTCGTGGATGGGAGCGGATGACCGATCGAGTTCTCGTTGCAGAAAGGCTAACTCCGAGTCGACCATAGAATTGACAGTTTAAGGGAATGGCGATGATGGTTTTGGCACATTCCGTACATATTTTTATGTATGTGTGTGTGTGTGTGTTGCGTACACTGAGTCCTAAACGATTTCAAACTTTTTTTTCTTGGATGCAGTTTGGATAACAGCCGGTGGCCCAGCAAGAGAACTCGTTTCTGAGGAATATCCGGTCCTCTCGCTGGACATCTGCTGCATTCCGAATTGCATTGAAAAAGCAAAATACAACTGTTTTGAAATCTAGTGTATATATGTGCGTGTCTGTTGCGTATATCAAGAGGGTTTTAAAGTATCGCTAAAATATCTGTATATAACTTTACATCGTATTATTAGAATCGTACATTTATGAAATATAATATAAATAATATTATATGCACATACGTATATGTATTATGTATATACAATATTATTTATTTACTTTCTCTATGTGTATACGGATAGCATAACTATTCTCAAGTTCAAGTGACTCGCCAACGTGAAAAGTCGCGATAAATGAGTAATAAAATCCTTTCGGGTACACGATATAAAAATATATAAAAATTACGAATTCGATATAACGCGTGGCCGAATGATCAACGAAGGTGGCGCAATTCGTGCCGAGAAATTACACTCCCTTCTCGAAATACATAAAAAATCCGACGATTCCTCGAAACGATAAGCCTATCTTCGGCCGCGCACGTTACCGATATCTCGCGTACGCTTCCGAAAATCTTATCGTAATCTTACGTGCGATAAATATACCTTAGAAAACGTAGTTGGCAGTTTACAATGTATTAGTCGCTTTGTGACGAGCCGGACGAGACGGGCAAAGAGACAATGTCCTGCCGATGATGATCGCCGCGGCGCGTTTCACGCGACAGGACGCACACGCAAGATCGCTCCGGACGATTTTCGCATGTCCGTCTCGCGGGAATTCATCGTGAATGTTCGAGTCATCGTGCTCGAGCGAGAAGAGAGAGACAGAGAAGGAATGATAAATTGTGCATTCGTGGTCCGTCGTTTCGACCGCATCGTCGGTCGAGTGTGGCCGGCAGAGAAAGAGAGAGAGAAAGAGGATTAGCGCCCGTCGTCTCATATAGTCTCACGTGTAAATAGAATACAATCATACGGTAATTGCAACACGGGAAGTACAATTTATATATTGTACACGAATATATTACATCGCTCTACTACTGTCGTCAATCGCAACGTCACCGTCTGAGCGATCGAGGTCTATCTCGATAACTGACGCTAACTGACACTTATACAAACGATTTTACAAAGGCCAGTAATATCTATGTACGTCGTAACATCCTTACTGCGATCTAAAACGATACCTAAAGCCACGTGTCGCCGCCGCTGAGAATTATCAAAATATGCCGACGTGTACGTCCGTCAAGTAATAAGTAAAAATGTACAAACATCGCGTTCTTCGATCCCCTATGGCAGACAGAATGTACGAAGACGAAAACATAAAAAGAAAAAAGGAAGAAAAAAGAAGAAATGGGGGAGAAAACAAGAGGACGGGGGCGAAAAGATAGAAAACGAGGGGCGGGGAGAGAGAGGAGAGACGGAAAATTAACGTTAAATAAAATCACACTATCATCTATCGATCGTTCGTAAAATGACCATCGTCGATCGAGTATAAAGGTTATACAGTATTCTCGGAAGTACCGCGAACATTGGCGTCACGTATGGTTAACGAAGAGGACCGCGTAACAACCACCACTGTGCCGCGATAACGGCAGCGCTGATCGTTATCGCGCGTCTCCCGACGGAGTAATATGTAAACGTGGAAGATTTCAAAACTCCTTTGTTCAGTATGCGGACGCTTCCTTATACTCGGAACCTTCCATGGTGAAGAAGTCCTCGAGCTTCCACTGGAGCGTCTCGAAGGTCGGTCTCTTCATGGGGTCCTTGTTCCAGCATTCCAGCATGATGTCGTAGAGCGTACTCGGGCAACCGGGTGGACACGGCATCCTGTAGCCGTGCTCCACCTGGTGCAGGACCTCGGCGTTCGTCATACCTGCGGAGTAGCGCATTTACATTTTATCAATCCGGTCATAACGACCGAGATTTGTTTTCTCAGGTGATCCGGTGTTCAAAGATGAAAAACACGGAGAGAAGAAGAGCTATGGCGAGAAACTCACCTGGATAAGGTATTCTACCGTATGTGACTAATTCAGTGAGGAGGATACCGAACGACCACACGTCAGACTTAATACTGAATTTGCTGTAGTTTGCCGCCTCGGGCGCGGTCCACTTGATGGGGAAGCGGGCTCCTATTCGGGCTTCGTACTCATCCTCCTTGATGAGCCTGGCCAAGCCGAAATCGGCGATCTTGACGACGTTGCCGTCCGCCACGAGGACGTTACGGGCTGCCAGATCTCGATGGATGTAGTTCTGCGACTCCAAGTAAGCCATACCAGCGGCTATTTGCGCGGACATGTCGATCAGTTGCTGCAACTTTACGCCTCTACCTTTGCCTATAGGAGAAAAGAGGAGAAAAGAATAAAAAATGATGTTCGATCATGTCGAGTCGGACGCCGATATGAAGGCCGAAGAATACTAAGCGCGTGGGACATTGCGAATCCGAAACAGACACCTGGCTTACACGATCGTTGTATTCCGGCGTGATGTAACAATTATTCATCAGTCGTAGTAATTTGTCGGTTGAGTGTTTCAGCGAGACATTTGTTGTTGCAACGCGAATTATCGCGATTCATAAGTCATAATTGTCCCATCAAACAACCAAATAAGGACCACAACGATTGTTACATTATGCCAGAATAACAGTCATGCCTTGTACACGGAGTACAGTAAGGCAATAACCATTACCACTTTATGCACCTTCGCAAAAAAAAAAAAAAAAAAAAAAAAAAATCAAAGCTATTCCCCATCTAAAAAAAGTAAAACAACCGTTTCACACGATGTCTGTCAGACACATTTCTCCTACTCTCACATATTTCTCTATTGTGTAATTCTTGTTGGCAAAATGTTCGATATCTCACAAATTTCAAGGTGAATATCACCTCACCGTAAGTCAAGCGTCCATCTCAATTTGTTCGGTTACTAGAAGTGCACGATACTGTTTCACCCGTGTGCGATCCGATTATACCTTGCAGGTATTCCAGTAGACTGCCGTTTCTCATCAACTCGGTGATGATGTAGATCGGCTCCTCCATCGTGCACACGGCGTACAGCTGGATTAGCTTGTTGTGTCGCAGCTTCTTCATGATTTGCGCCTCGGCCAAGAAGTCCTTCGGGTCCATGGTGCCAGGCTTGAGCGTCTTTATCGCCACCGGTGTGGTGTTGTTCCACAGTCCCTCCCACACCTCACCGAATTGCCCCTGTCCCAACTTTCTGAGGAACTTGAGCGACGAACGGTCGATCTCCCACTGGTCTCGTGTACGGTGGCTCAGGCCCTCGGTTACGGGTTTCTCAACCTGCCGACAAAGCCAGAGCCGGATCAGCCGCACCGCGCGGGCCCAGACTCGCGGCTTGCGATTTGTTGTGCGAGGAAGGGTATCGTGTGTTGTCGGCGGTACAATCGTTAATAATTGCGAGCTATTCGTTCCGGCCTCCTTTGCGAGGAGAGGAGAAAGAATTTCTAAGTAAGCGTTCAAGAGACAATCTCTACGCACAGCGTAAGGAGAGCTAGCGCATCATAACCTCCCTCTTCGCGGATATACAAACCTACCCTGATCGCCCTGAGTCCTGCAAATCGTTAAGCGCCGCGGTGACGATCTCTCGCGGCGGCGGCCAAGCGCGACGCGAGAGAGATCACACTCCGACGGCGGCTGATTTTCAGAGGAACGAAGAGAGAGAGAGAGAGAGATAGAGATACGTATATAATATTTAAATATACATATATAGAAACGAAGAGGAAATGAAATAATGAACGAATACAACGCGAGCGTATGCAAAATGTCTCAAATCGGCGTTTCACGCCGCGGAAAACACGCGTCGGTCACGCGTAATCGGCGTACGTACGTATAATCTAAAACGCGATAACACGCACACGCACTCACACCCGTCCATCCGTCCGTCCGTCTGTCCATCCATCCATCCATCCATCCAAGTACCAAACTCGTTCGTCATCCGAGGAGAGCGGAAGAGGTTCCCGCCGTTACGCGGAGGCGCGCCTTTGGGACATTCTGCATGCGCGCGAGCGAATATACAGATCTCGAGCACACATACATTCGCCGACAAGCGCGCGTTCAATTCTCTCGCTTTCGTCAGAGCACGGCAGAGCACGCATATGGTGAAGGAGGCGTTGGTCAAAGGTAAATTGTTATTCACAGGCGAGACGAAACGCATTTTCGCGCTTGCCAAATGCTTGCCCGTTCGGATCTCTTAGAGACTTTCCACTTTTCCTCTCGTTCCGTGTGTGCTGCCAATCTTTCCGATTCGTACGTTTCCGTTATCCTAATTTCGTTATCCCTCTCGCGGAGAGCTTGCTAGGATGCTAGATGAATATGTTTCTTGCATGTGTGTGATGTGAGAATGAGAGAACGAGATCAAAAACCATGTTGCAGATATGGAATCACATCGAGATGTACAGAGAGAGAGAGAGAGAGAGAGAGAGAGAGAGAGAGAGAGAGAGAGAAAGAGAGAGAGAGAGAGAGAGAGCTTTTAGATACGAGATATCTCTAAGTGAATGACAATCTACTGCTTTTGGAACATAATCCCGTATAAAACGGGCTTGTGCTGTATGTACAGGCCGGACACAATGGAGAGAAGCGTTTTGCGTCGAAAAAAGAAGAGAAATCAAAACGTGTTATGGCATATTAGGACATTCAATTTACCAAGAAAATCCACCGGGAGGTAGGGCAAGCAATAAACAGACAAACAAACACAGTCTATTCAGACATCGAACTTCGCAAGAAGAGAGAGAGTGCTTATCAAGAAGTGCGCTTCTACAAAGACCGCGGCATCTTTTCCTCTTTTACTCCCCGTAAGGGTGCAAACGCAACCTTTGACGGCTGCGAGTGTCTCATTACTGCGCGCTGCGCGTTACTGCGGGCCTCGATATGTATGTACACGTTACTCTAAGCGTGTTACTTTCCGCGCGATTTCCCGAGAGCGAGGGCCAACCGCTGCTCGGGAATAACGCGCATCACGCGCGGTCGCAATCAATGTATCTGATGTAACTGACATGTTTGTAAATGTTGTCTCTTTAGGATGTGCCATTCGACACCTATGCTATGCGCGGACACGTCGGAGTGTCGGCTCGACCGGCTCACGCGCGCGCGCTAGCGATAGTAACAATAATGAGAGCAAAAACAATAAGAATAATCTGGGGACACTGTGATACGTCGGGCAATCACGGCAACAATAGCGATGACCGTGCAATTATCGCCATTATTATCATAATCGGGCGGCTTCGGGCAATCGTGCGAATCAATCGCGTCTCGCGCGTTTGCTTTTGCAAGTGCCGACCGCAAATGCGAGTTTGGACAGCTTCTCCGTCGCGCGCGCGCGCGATATCGCCGAGTAGCGGCGTGCAACGTCGAGCTGATCGATTCGCCGATAATGAGGTCTCAATCGCTGTTATTTATTGCCCAATTTTCGCGCAGGGCACCTCGCGCCGCGGCGCGACTTACGCTCGGCTCGCGATAGCGACGATAACGGTAACGCGCGCGCTACGGTATTCGCTCGTTCGTTGCACATTTTAATGCGCGCGACTCGTCCAGCGTGATTCAATGCCAATGAAGAGAGTTTTCCCTTCTTCGAAGGTTCTCTCTCTCCCCCTCGCGACGAGACAAAATGCGCTCTCCCTTTGGCGACGGGGAAGGGGCAGGTGAACGAGTGCCTCCGTGCGAGAGAAAGAGAGAGAGAGAGAGAGAGAGACAGAGAGGATGCCGCACGGAGAAGAAAGATTGAATGGAGTTGTCATGACAATGACGCAGCCAGGCGCGTTTTGGCGGAAGGAAACGGCACTCTTGGTTCTCGCAGACCAAATTCGGCTCTTCAGCATGAGAAATTCCATTTCCTTCAAACGTCTTCTGGTTCACACCGATCGAATACGTTCCTGCAGCTCAAAAGATCAGAAATTTCGTTTCATTCCACAAACCGAGATCGGTCTCCTTACATACCAGAAACTCTGTTCCTTTAAAAATCTCTGCTTACAAATCGAACCTACTCTTGAAAAAACTTGGAAATTCCGTTTCCTTCGAAATTTCCGCTCATAGAAAACAAATTCGCGTCTGGAGAGCCAGAAACTCGTTTCCTCGTCCAAGGGAAACGCATCGAGTCGCCGTGTCAACTCGGCCACTCTCATCGTTCCCCTCCGTGCGCGTTTCTTCATCGATCATCAGGACCCGCCGGTGTCTGCGACAAGCGAGACTGGCGACGACAATAACGCGTGAAACACGACATTCACACGATTCCATCTCTAATCTGCCTCGTAAGGAAGCTGGGGTAATCCACAGCGGCTGCAGCGACATCGATCATCACGTCCCAACGGCAATTGCCGTTTGCCGCTCTGATTACATTACAAGCCCGGTCTCGTGTCGGCCACGTGGGGAGCGGGGGCGATTGGGGGCAGCAACTCGATCGCTTACCTGCACGCAAGGCTTGCACAGGTTCACACACAGCCCGTCCGCGTCCTTGCTGTAGTGCTCCACCAGGTCCTGCAGATTCCTGAACGTGGTTCGCCTGGCGATGAAGAAGCCGCCCTCGTCCAGCTGACGGATGCGGTAGTGCTTGACCGTGTCGCCGTCGCGCACTGCAACGATCCTCGTTAGACAGATTCCACGTCGCGCGCCTGTCGATCGCACGCGGTCTCTCCTCGCGCCGCTTGGCCACGGTTCTCTCTCACTCTCTCTCTCTCTCTCCCCCTCTCTCAGCAACGCGCGGCCCGCGGTCGAGCGAGGAGATCCACGCCAATCGTTATTCACTTATTAATATCGCACGGTGACCGCGTTACACGATCGACCGTTATACGGCTCTTCTATTATCGTCCGATTGCGTTACCTGAGAGGGAGTAATCGTTGTGCCGGCTCTCGGAGTCTCTTATCAGGAAGGCGCCGTGGTCGTTCTCCGGCAGCAGCAGCTTCTTCTCCGCCTCGATCCGCTTGATCTTCCTGAAGTACCACCTGCAAGTGCGAATGCCAGCGGTTACGAGAGCGTGTCGCACGCCAATTTCCAGCCGGGCTCGCCTCCAGCAGGAGGCGACCAGCTGTTGCGAGGAGAAGAGAAACAGAGGAGATTCATCGCCGTGAGTCAACTTCCAGGATATTACTTCCAGGTCAATCGGTCCGCGATAACAAGCGGTTACCGGTTCACCGTGATACCCGGGACGACTAAATTAACTAGAGATAAAAAATAACCGATGGAAACGACGGTTGACTCACGGTTCCGCTTCGATCGACTTCAACTTGGCCACATAGTTGCTAGGGATGTAGCCCTCCTGCCTGGTGCGTTTACTCCGCGCCAGCCACCAGTCGCCCTGCGTGTCGTTGAGTATCTCCAGGTGCTCGCCTTTCCGGAAGCTCAGATCCTCGTCGGTGCGAGCGTCGTACTCGTAGAGAGCGACAAATATCTTGGCGGTCGCGACATCCGCGTCCGGAATCTGCGGCATCGGCCTGATGGGGTCGGGCGGCGGGGTCGGCACCGGGCTGGCCTGCGACGCGACCGCCTCGATGCTAGGGTTGCCTATCCGGTCCGGCTTCTCCTTCTCCACGTCCGTGGGGTTGCTGAAGCAGTTGCCCATGTTGCTCGGTGTCCGGGCGTCGTCTCGTGTCTCTTCGCCTCAGACGGAGCTCGTCAGGAGACCTCGTCGCTCTGCCGACGGTCCCCTCGGTCGCATCTAATTCGCGACCGGACCTTGAATAGCGACGTTTCCCGGCAACGGGGTGACCGACGACCGTCCTCCTCGTCGTCGTTGTCCGAGATTCACAGGCGTGCGAGTCGCGGACGGTCGGCCAAAAGAGTCCTGCCGCGCGCACTCTCGCTCACCAGCAGCAGGATCGATCGATCCGATCTCTCACCGGGGTCCAGTTCCCCGCACGTGCGGCACTCGCGAGATCAAATCGACGTTGCGCACAGCTGGCGACGCAGCCGTGAGACGCGAGAGAAAGAGAAAGAAAGAGAGAGAGAGAAAGAGAGAGACCTGTCAGCTGTGTCGCGCCGACGACGATGGATCGACGAGCAACCGCGAGACGGCCGGAACTGGCGTCGACTGGATAACGCGAGAAGAGCGGGCGAGCGGGCGAGAGGGAAGGATCACATCCGCGAGGGAAGGCCAGCGGTAGCAGCAGCGCGACCACCGAGCGGGCTCTCCGCGCATTCTCCGGATATCCTGGGCGCCCGCAGGTACAGATCGGCGCACCGACAACCGCGGAGCATCGCCCGCGAAAGCCCGACGTGGGTCGATCTCGCGATCTCGAGATCCGCCTCGTCCTGCCCGAAGAGAGACCGTAGCGCAGCTGCTGCTGCTGTTGCACTTGTGGAATCGCCGAGGAGTAGCCCAGCGTCGGTCGTACGTCATCAATCACATAGTCCTCTCTATGGACGCGAGCGCGCGCGCGTGCGTGTATGTACGTGTGAGTCCTTAGGTGCGTGCGCGCGTAGGAACGCGAGAAGAGCGAGATACAGAGAGAGCGAGAGAGAGAGAGAGAAAGAGATAAGAAGAGGCGAAGACCGAGAGAATGGGCGAGGAAGGAGAGAGAGAGAGAGAGAGACAGACGCGAGATCAGGCCGCGCGCGATCGACACCTCTCACCAAAACGCAGCTTAGAAAGTAGGCAAGCCAGCAGGCGGAGGCGCCGTCGCCATTGCAGGCGCGAGTCACGGATCCGTCAAAAGCCAGAGCCCTTCCTGTGCGTATCCGTCGGTCCTCGCATGCGCGCGTGAGTCCGCCGACCGTCTTTCTTCCATACGACACACGCCCAACGGTTCCGCCGAGCTGGACGAGTCTCGCCGAGGAGCGAGAGGCCGCACCGGATGTATCTCGGCTTCGACGGGCACACGGCGATATCGCCGAGTATCACCGCGCACCGCGACACTCGCGAGAGGGACAGCTAGATAGATAGATAGATAGATAGATAGAGAGAGAGAGAGAGAAAGAGAGAGGATGAGAGAGAGGAATAGAGCGGTGTGTTCTCGTCGCCAACGACGGAGGGTTCCCTCGACGGAGTCGTTTATATTCGCGTCTACTACGTACCGCTCTCTCGTCAGCCGTCCGACCAGCCGACGACGCTACGAGACGGGTGTGGAGCGTGTTGCGAACTCGCGCGATACCACCTCCGATAGCTCGTCACTGTCACTAACTGTCGCGCACGCATATGAATGCGTGTGACGCGCGCGCGTAGTCACGGAGAAAGTGAGCCCAGCGGGAGCGCCAAGTCGGCGCTGCTCGCCAAGCATTTCCGACGAGGAAGCGACTGCCGCGCCGCGGACTCTCCCGCCAACTGACGACTGCCGCGTCGGTCGGTAAAGTCGTCTTACCGACGGAGCACATCTGCACCTTCGATCGCGCTCTCGGCGGATCGGATTCAAACGTCCGGCAAAATGGCGCGTCGAAGGTAACGGTCGGCTTAGAAGTCGATGGGCCACAACAACCAGCCGGGTGTATTCATCCCCAAACGAGTCTTTATTTTGCAACGCCCTAACTTGCTAAACTCGACAAACTCAAACCTCGGCTGCCGCTCTCTACCTGCGTAATAATACGTAGAATTGATAATCTAAGAAAGGAGGAGGTGGAGAAGGAGGGACGACGCCGACGGGATCGCACTTGATCAGAGGTACCTTGCTCGTATCCCCTACTTTCCTCTTTTTCTCCCTTTCGGTCTCTGCACACATATCGTTTGGTGTGCTCGCTCGCCGCTTCTCCAGCGAGAGAAGACTTTCGGAGGGGAATCTATGTACACCTAAAATCGTTTACAATCGTCACGGAATGGTCGCTTGAGAAGGCGTGTGACAAATTGCCGCCGCGATCATATCCGGTGCTGATGCCGGTTTCAACAAGTTTGTCGTTTACGAGAGAATAAAAAAACGTTGCCATCCCCTGTAGATGCCGAGCGGGTGGCGCATAGAAAAAACAGAAGCGGTGAAACTCGAGCAGAAAGCGAATCAGCCGCAGTCGCGGTCGAGAATTTGCGGGAAACATAATTCCGTTGGCGCGAGTAAACTTCCCGTTGCCTGGGAAGGATAAGGATCGAGTGGGAAATTCGACTGCAAGAGTGGAAAGAGATTCCCGACCAGGTAAATGTCCTCGATAGTCTAAATCAAATGTTGGAATGAATTTTATCCCTTCGCGGTAACAAAGACAATATATCATTTCCCAATTTTTGTGTGCTCAGTCAAACTGACATCTCTTCTTCCGTGCATCGTGTTAAAATTCTCGACAGTGATTGGTCGATCTGCTTATCGATCTGGCGAAAAGGATTAAATATAATTGCATGAGAAATTGTATATATATATATACAGTCATGTATAAATTATATATGACCTATATATACAAATGTCATATCTACATGGCTGCTATGTAATCATATGCAATTTCCACACGTGAAAAACGTTGACGAGCGAAAGAAATAATTTTCTTCAATTAAACACCGACATCGCAGACTGCCACAAGCACCGGCGGTCACTTTAATGGTGTTTGCACAACAGCGTTTCTGGCGTGAAAAATCACGTACGATTATACACGGCCATGCAGGGAGAAACTTCATACATAATTACATATAATCATTTCCTCTCGAGTCCCACTGCTTACGCTTTGCCATTTGGTGTCGCGACCCCCTTGCGTTCGTGAGGAATGTGCGTTGCTTCGCCATGTCCTCATCGCTCAGGAATATTCCTCGATACCGACTCACCATTCTTTCGGATCGCCGATAAAGCGCCCACTGACATTCCGGCGCTGAGATCAGCTGGTTCTCCTGCGCTCGTCTCGTCCCGCATGATGATTAAAATGATTAAATATACAACGAACACGGCAATGATTACACATATCCATGCCATTCGCTACGTGCGCTACGATATTCTCACTGCTCGAAATCGTGCCGCTGCGAGCCGAGACTCGGACTCGAATCTCGAACGATCGATTGACGACAGGACGATTATAATCTCGACACTCTACTTTATTTCTCAAAAAAGAAAGAAGAAAACGTCGGAAAGATATATCTTAACAACGGTCTAGGTGTGTACGCGTGTCTGTGTGTTTACAGTCGTCCTCGTCGAACGGCGCGAATACTTTTCTCGACCTTTTGCTCTGTACAATGTCTCTCGGAAGGTCCGTCGAAAAGACGTGTCGACATTTAGCGAGTCGACCTGGCGAGATATACGAAAAGGATACGCGAACCTCGCGCGCTCGTCGTCCCACCGAGAGGCACGTCCGACGGAGACGACGACGACGCGCGCGAGCATCCTTCTTGTGGCCGCGCGATAAAAATAACGCGCGAATTAAGATAAGAATTCGGGCGCATGTGTTATCAGAAATAAACATGGGAATCGATCTCACGGTGGGTCGAGCGGCGAAGAAACAGCGAGAGAAATCGATTTCCTTCCTCCGCCAGCGATCTCTCTCGAGCTCTCGCCGCGGACGATCTATAAATCGCGACGGAATTCGGGGCAGAATTCTATTTGCGATTTTGTGTGCCGTACAACACCCGGAAAACACCCGAAGCCTCATGGCATTGTGTCACGCACGTGTCCGCCGGTGCACTTGGGATTCATCGAATTTTCTCACAGACAGAATCCCGGCCTGAATTCCAGCGCGAATTATAGACCGGCCAGAGCGAGTTTTACGAGCGCGCGAAGGCACGCCGATTGCGCAACGCATCGGCGACGGTCATTGCGACAGCGAGGAGGGAGATTTCAATTGTAATGAGCTCGTCTGTTGGGAAAAGAGAGAAAGAGAGAGAGAGAGAGAGAGAGAGAGAGAGAGAGAGAGAGAGAGAGAGAGAGAGAGAGAGAGAGAGAGAGAGAGAGGGGGACTAATGAGACGTGTAAAACGTATCGGGCGATAAAATCTCCTGGCGTCCTTGCGAAAGATTTCAGCACCTATCGAGACGAGGAAAATATACCCGAGTCGATTTAACTCGAGATCGCCCGTAAGTGGTGTTCGTCGTTCCTATTTGCGTATATAAAAACGATAAGATAAAACGAATACAATGTCAAGATAAAAAGGGAACGGACACCCAGCTGCATTCTCACGGCCGAAATTACATGTATGTACATGCGGTTATTATGCCTTTGATTGCTATATGCGTATATACGAACGTTCAATTGTTCCGTCCAGAAAGTCACAATTGACGGTATTCCTTCGTACACGTACAGCAACTCTCTCCTGCGCGCGTGCACATCCAGTTACCTCTCGCAATGAATAATTCGAGCCCGGACGATCGATTTTGCGAAAAATACACCTCGTACGCCTCGTAAGATCTGTCCGTCAAATCGGAATCGTCGTATGATTATCGGGACAGTCGAAGTCTTCTGCCTTCGCAGAAATCACGGCGAGAGTGGCGCAAGTGATATAACGAAACTTTATTATTTTCTTTCTTCTTCACGTGTTCTCTCGCCCGCAAAACGGGCGCGACTCGACGATATTGTGACACTGAAATTACTCGTTGCCGACCTTCGGAGTCCTAATCTAGATTCTTTTATCGCTGAAAGACCCAAAACCTAAACTCTCCTAACGTTTATTAGCATCTCTTTTTCCGCGTGTCGTTCGTCTCTAACGCTCCATAGAAAAATAAAGGGAAAACTGGAGTGTGTCTCGTTCGTACGTCTCTGAAGCTGGACTCAGAGTCGCGACTTTGCTGCTAGTTAGTAAATTACGCACGGTTACACTTGTTCTTTTTCTTCTCTTTTCGCACGACATGTTAATCGAATCGTTTAAATCTACGTCTCTATCAATGTTTACTACTCGGAAATAGTTATTCTGTAATAATAATAATTACTCTTTTTATAGTCTATCAAAATATTCATCACAGTGCTACGGACACAAAGATTGTGTTCATATTCATATATATATATACATATATGTATATATATGTATATATACATATATGTGCACACACGTACATATATGTGCACATATATACATATCTATACACATATATATACGATTATATATGTGTAAATAATATTTTTTGTTACTTCCTCCACGGAAAAACTCGCCGGTTCCGGTCGCTCGCGTTACACTCGCACTCGCCTGCGGCAAGGTCTCAATCGTGAAATGAGTCTGACAAACGGAAAATTTGAGGAAACACAAGAGAAAAGAACGTCTATCCGAAAGGGTTCTTTCTTGGTCGCAAGTAGCGCACAAATAACTTTGTACTCTTCACCGCACACGTGTGGCGATATCTTTGACGTGTACGGTTTCGATCTTCACACTCAGCACGTGTATGTACAACGGGCGACCGGACACGCCAACCTGTTTTTACGCGCTTATATATGTATCACTTGTTTTTATCGTTTTAAACGTAGGGTGCTACACACACAATGGCAGTATCATCCCGCTTAAAAACTCTCTTACTCGCTTTCTACGCCTGTGACTATATTTACAGCAATATAAGTTGAGAAAAAATGGCCTCCCAACGAGAGATCGTCCAGCCTGCGATAAACTCCGTAAATGTAATGGTTAGCGGCATGCACTATAGTGTAGCGATTACAATATAAACGCTGGACAAAGAAAGAAAAGGAAAAAGGAAACGTCGACGTAATCCCTCTAGTGGTGCGCGCTCCGAATTGACTGACCGATTTCCGATTACGAATCACGATTGTTGACGGATCAAACGGAAAGACCAATCGGCTGTATACAACATGTAAAACGGAATTGTCCAATCGGAAAAACACCAATGTACGGTTCTACGGTGCAAGGACTAATTTGAAATGAGAGATCTCGTGCGGAGTACGTGACGCACACGTGCGGCATTCTATACTGCAAGCGCGAACCATAGATCAAAGTGACACCCCGAAGCGGAAGTGTAATCGCGATTTCGCGTCGATTTCAATCGGACCGGTCATGTTGGAAAACTCAATGGCCAAATCAGAGGACTTCACTCTCTAACTTAACTCTTCGCCGTGCGCGCGCTCGCAATGTGCAAAGAACGTAATCTTCGCCCTACGAACGTTAGCCAGTTATTTTTTATGGGGAAAAAAAAACGTAATCATATGATACAATTATATAATCTTATAGTACTACGTATTATAAAAATTATATATAATTTCAAACAATAATAAATTATTGTTCCAACATGAACGGTTAATCCATCCTTCGTACGGTTCCATCAGATTCTTTCTTTCTCTCTTCCCCCCCCCCTCTCTCTCTCTTTTTCTCGATCCTCGGCCGCGAATCCTTTGCGATCCGAAATCAACCGAAAAGAACCAATTCAATGATCATTTCGTCAAATCTGGTCTGCATCTTTTGTTTGGGCATTATCACAATTGTCTCTCGAGCGAGTTAACGTGCTTGTACACACCCACTTCTACTCCCGGTGTTTTCCGAGGGATCTCGGGAGCAACGTTCGATGTAAATTAAAAGTAAATTACAAGAACATTCCGACTACAATGTCTCTCCAGAACGACGCGATGGTCGTCGGTCGCCGACGTGACTTGGAAAGAAGAGAACTCGGCTCAGAAATGTTTTCCCTTGTTCTTTTTGAATCGTTCTTTTTGAATCGCAACGCGCGTCGATCACACCTCGACGTGAAGGGGACTAGGCGGGCGGAACGATTGGCAGCAGCCCCATGGGAAGAACCACGTGGCTCAGCACCTTGGCGAAAATTTCGGATTCGTAGGGCCGTGGATGTAGCTCCTGAGTTCCTTCGGCGGCTCCGAGCCGAAGTCCGACGCCGTGTCCACGTCGGACTTGCGGCAGATGATCATACGGATGTCCGTATGTAGATAAATTCGACCTGACTTGCTGGACATAAATCTGAAACGAGCGAATGCGTGCGTCAAGTTGCGTCCTTCTCCTGTGCCTATCCACTTGCTTCGTTATCGGCCTGCGTAGCGAAACACAACACGTTGAACGCCGCGTTATTCATATCCGGATGACGCGCGAGTTTCCGAGCGGGAGGCCACGTTACTCACTTTTTGCGGCTGATATTCCTTTGCTCGCCCGCTCGGCTGTCACGCAAAAAGTCATGTCATGTTCATGGAATAAAATACAAAACGGAATTCTCAAATTCGTCGGGTGATTATTCGTCGTTACGAGTAAAATAGGCAACATCGACTCGATGTTTTCTTTCTTAGACATCTCACGAGGATTCTCTATTTTCTTTCGATATATCCCCAGACTGCTTATGAAAATTTAATAGTCACATTACGTTTAACGAGAATTTAACGGAAAATTAACGAAGCGTTATCACACAAAATCAGTAGGAGGGAATAACGAACAAAAGGATCATCATTGATAGACGGAGGATTTCTCCCTAGCGGGACTCTCATACGTGGCGATCAACGTGTCGAGCGTCCGTCAACAAGCGCGACTATGCTTACCTAAGGTGAACGAGGTAGCGCAGTGTTTTGTCCCGCAGTGTTCTTTGACGTAAAAAAGTATGAGATCGCGACGGCATGTCGGAAAGATCGTAAAGTACTACGAACATCTTCACGACTGTACCGAGTGGATTGAGAAGGGTCACTTGGATGGTACCGCTCCTCGGCACCTGATAGCCTTTCTTCTCCAAGTTAATGTGAGCCTGCAAGCAGAAGATAAACAGCATTTCGTACGCAGCGCGACAAGAGGTCCGAATCGGGCCGCTGATATCGATACGCACAAGGTATGGCGTGGAGACTTTGTCGTTGTCACCGAGCGTGTAGAAGAACACGGTGACTGGAAGTTTCTGATGCTTCGGACAGAAAGAACCGCTGGCACCGAGCTCCGCCGTAAAGCCATGAACGGTGGACACCGGTTCGAGTCTGCCGTTCAATGCCGACTCTTCGAAGCTGCCTAGAAGAGCGTGACTCTGCGGCCGGTGGCGGGAGCTTGACCGTCTTCTGGATGTCTCCTCACCCTCGCCAGCGTTTTCCGTCTCGCGATCAGTCTCCTCCAGCGACACCGCGCCCGGACTCGGAGGAGTATTCAGCTCAAACAGCGCGCTGCAACGTGAAACGGTAAAGTCTCCCGGTTGTTGGAATCGCGTTTGCTCATAAATTTTTTCCCAACGTATCGCAGACATTTCGGTTCACTTCGTGTCAGGGAGAGAATCGACCTGATACTTAATTTATATTTTTATTCATTTTTTTATCCATTTAAATACTTTGTAACTTTTATTCATTTTATACTTCTACTGAAGAACGACTCAGTATACCAGGTTGCGAGGTTGCTCCTCTCCTTGATAAAGTAAAGCGAGACGTCGCAGACAAATCTTCGGTTGATGCGGTAGATTTATTATTTTTCTATTCTAATTTGTGCGGCTAATGAAAAGAAAACAGTCCTCGTTGGACGACTGACTGACATCTGTTTCACCTAAGAAACTGTCATATTTTTATGCTAAGATAGTACAAAAAACACAGACCTGGCAGTCAGAGTTGATCTGACCTTGTAAAAGACGCGACAAGAAACGTAACGTATTTCCCACCACGTAAACGAACGCCGTACCTTCTTTTAGACGAGACAGAATTCAAGCTGCTGTCGTAATCAAAGCAACAGCTGCCTCTCCTGAGCGGTGCTGGGCTGGAGGTCAACGGCAGGCCGGTCCTGCTGTGAAACACCATCGACGCCGCGTTCTCCAGCGACCGGCGGAATCTCTCCTGCTCGAGGGCGGACGGCACGCCCCTGTCGACGGTCTCGTCGTCCTCGGCGACGCCGTCCTTGTGATTATTGTTGTTCCGCACCTTGGAAGACGAATGGCCGTTCTGCAGGATGGTCGCAGCGGTCAGATTGTTCTTCGAGACGGCGGTGTCCCTCGCGTTCACGTCGTCGTCTCCGGCGAGCTCCCTCGCGTCTGCGAGTAGCCGATCACAGTTGCCCTGGCGATTTAGGCCCGCGGAATCGCGCTCGCGATCGTCGATATTATTTGTACTATGTATCGGTGGCTTTTGATGTGCGTCTTTTGTACTGAGCCCTGGAGTCGCCGGCCCCTTCTTGTCGGCGGCCTCCGGAACATTCGCGAAGTCGATTCGCCGCTTCGTCTTGCTCCTCGCGGAGTTGTGCAGATTCGCCGGCTGTTCGTTGTTGTAGCGCGACGACGCCGGGCTGGAGCATCGCGCCGACGGGTGCTCCCGCTCCAGCGAGACGGAGCTCTCGTCCGTCGTACTGGTCCTCCTGTTGTCCTCGTCCCTCTTAAACAGCTGCCGGATCTTGTTAAATCGTTTGTTCACCACGAGCGGCAAGGACTTGTCGTCGTTGACGGCACAGGCGGTTCTGTGGTCCTGGTCGAGCTTCTCGAGGCTCGCGCGACAGTCATCGCTCTCGTCGTCGTCAATACTAGTCGTCAACCTCGGTCTGGTCCCGTTTGAAGCGTCCAACGTCTGACCGTTCCGGTCCCTGCTGCCGTTCCGCAGGATCGCCCCGAGCAATACGTCCGCCTTGTTGGAGACGTTCCGCAAGCGCTCCACGTCACCGTTCGCGCACGCCCCCGGCACCTGCGGCTCCTCGTGCCACCTGTTCGGCTCGGCGAACTTTAAGTGCGCGGGCTGATAGACGTTCTTGTCGTAATAGACCCGGTCGAGAGCGGCGGCGGCCGGCTCGCCCGCCGGATAGTCTATCCTCTTGTACAGCCTCTTGCCGTCGTAGAGCTCGCTAGACTTGACGCGATTCGCCGCTAGGTTCGCGCTCTCCGAACTCGCGCATCTCGGCGACAACTTCTCCATCGCCGCTCCCTCTTCGCCAGCCTTCTCGGACCGTTCCCGTTTCTTCACGTTCTTCAGGGTGGTCTTCCGACGACCTGACGGTGTCCTGGCACGCAGCACCGCCAACACCTCGTTCACCTCCCGCGGACTCAGCTCCAGATTGCAGTTCTTGAACTTGATCTCGTTGGTACCTTGATGATGCTCCGGCTGCCTCATGCAGCCCTTCACCTTGCTGTTGTCGACGTAACCCTTCGCGGCCGTGACGCCCAGCACTCTACCGGGCACTTTGCTGAACCATTCCAGGATCCCACCCTCCTCCTGCTTGTCTTTCTCGTTTGGAAACGACAGTTTCCACATGAGGTGGCTGAACTCCTTGCCAGCTCGCCCTCGGCCTTTGGCGGTATTGTCTTCCTTATTTTGGTTGGCCTCCAGCGCATCCTGACCGGTCGACACCGCCTCCGCCGAAGCAGTCTTATTGACGTTCTTGAAGCAGCTCTGGTGTACGGTGCAAGCGGAATTGTCCACCTTGCGGCAGTATACATTATTATACGTCGAGGGCCCAGGGTTCGACTCGTGAAAAGGGTTGGGCTGAGCGTAGGGGTCGATCGCGACGTTGGTGTCCTTGGTGATCGGTGGCTTGTAACTCCTCTCGGAGTCGCTGAAGCGCGCCTCTTTCGCGCCGCAGAAGCTCTGAAACTTGCTGTTCATGTTGCTGTTTTGCCAAGAAGAGACGAAGGACCAGGACAGCCCGGATGGCAGCTGAGGGAACGGGCCGAGATTCTCCAGCAGCGCGCCCCTCAATCCCGCGGCTTTGCTCTCGGACGAGCTGTTGGACCCTTTGCCGGGATTGATCGAGCCCTTGCTGGAATTATTGTAGCTTTCCTCGATCCTGTTGACGTTGGTCTTGGGATTGGCAATCTCGGCCATCTCCGTCGTACGCTTGCAACGCTTCTCCAGGCTGCTGTCGCGATCCTCGATGTTCAGCTGCGTCTTGAAGCAGCGCTCCAGGTGATCCGAGTTGAGATTGTTACGGGTCCTCACCTCGTCTCTGCCCTCCGACTTGTTCTGAAGCGCCCGCATCGCGCTGCGGTTATTCGCCATCTCGGTGCTGCCTCTCACGTTATCCTTCGTCTCCTGCAGGATGGATTCTTGGAGGGACGGCATCGGCACCGGCACCGGCTGTAAGGTCACGCAGAAGTTCTCCGCCGGGCCGCAGGGGAGCGACCGGCGACGTTTCCGTTCGCTGTTGGACCTGATGGTGGGTGACAGAGGGGACGCGTCTTCCTCTTCGCAGTGACAATGGTGCTTGCCGGACTTGTTGCAGGATGTTTGCAGCCTGTCATCCACCAGAGCTGCCGGAACAGACAGACGCGTGAGTTTTCATGCACTCGCGGCGATCGCTCGTGTCTCGCAGAATAACTTCCGTAATGTTTTTCTCTTTTCCATGTCGAGAGGCGAGAACTCGTAAGAACGGGAACCCCGAGGTATTGGGAACGCGAAGGCTTAATTCATTACCAGGCAAAACAAGGTCGGGAGGATTCTGCGGCGCAACAGGCACCGGAATATTCTTAGTAGGTGTCAACGCCCTCGCGATATCCTCCTCGTCTTTCTCCTTCTTCGGGTGCAACGAGCACATCAGCACCGGCACCTCCTCCATTCGCGGCAATGCCCAAACGGTGATCTGCAATCGAGAAGTACAGTGTTCGACCCCTCGCACGTAAGAGGGGTGTTCTCCCGTGAGATTCGAGTCTACTCAGGTGTGTATCGGCTGCTGAGAGCAAAAAGTTTGTCGGGTCTGTCGAGTGAACTAGAAGACGATAATCCCGAAGGATTAACACTTCTCACCGATAAAACGAACGTCTATCTCTTCTCAAACGGATCTAACGAGGACTCGCAATTTTCCTCTCAAACGGCCAAACTTTTGCAGCAACCTAATATTTCCTCGACATGACATGACGTTATAATGGATTTGCGTGTGCGTGCGTGTTTTGAGAGATCTGTTGTTACCTTGATAGAATTCCCGTCGCCGTTACCAGCCAAAGGAAAGGTGTGCTCCACCGGTGTCTCCCGAAACTTTCTGAGATTGTCTTCGTTGTGTGGCACGATACGAGTGGCAATGTAACTCGGCTCCGCACCGTTGCTGCGCGACCACCACGCCGCGACCTGACTGAAGTGCAGCCGTGAGCGAACCGCCTGGTACAACCCTTGATAATTCATCGTTTCTGGACTCCTGCAAGTAGCGAATAGATGAGTGAATCTTCCTTGGGACGCGGGTCTCACACTCTCATCGACGTCGCGCCAATTGAAATCTCCGGCGCGAAGTGGGGGACTTACTTGCTCGGGACAATGGAAATACACCAGTACTCCAGTAATACGTCCGACGTGTGCTGCCATGATGAGATGGACAAGGACGGCACGGGGCAAACGGGATACTTGCTCGTAGACTTGGCCAAACCGCACGGACAATCACTGCACAGGAGCACCTCGACGCACAGGTACGAGCCGGTGGCGATGCGCTCCGCGATCTCCCGAATTAGTACCAAGTATCGATCGCACTTGAAAAGAAGAGGAAAGAAAGTCGAGGGACCAGTCCCGCAGGAGACAAGAAACAAGAGAAGCCGACGGCCCAGGGAGGACTGATTGGCGAATAAGTGCGCCGCGACCATCGTCGCGACGCGTTTCTCCTGGCCAGCCAGCGGAGAGACGCGTCTCGACGGGCACAATGAGGATACAAATCTGATCTCACAGCGGATCGCGGATTTGAATTTCCCGTCGCTCGCGAGCCGCGCGCGCAATTTGGCTTCTTCCGTTCGAGCGGGCGCATTGTTCCCCGGGGCGACGCCGGTGAAAAAGTGCCTACGAAAGTGGGTCGCCTAGAAACAACGGCGAGTATAACGGGGGCACCATATGCCACTACTTACCAAATAGTTGGTCTCCTCGCACACGTGATCGTTCGGGACCGCCTGCATAGGCGGTGCGCAGTGCGGGCCCTCTTTGTAGCCACGCGGAGGGCCCTGGATTCTCCCTTCGCACACTAGGACTCCAAGGGCTCGAAACACGCTAAGAGTACCATCCCGGCCGCCAACCCCGTTCGGGCTGGACGTGCCAGCCGTCACCGCACCTAGACAGTGCATACCTGCGGAGCGAGAGAGGAATAATCAATGCTCGCGATCGAACGCGTCCAACACGTCGCGGAAGAGGATCCGTGGATCGCGCAATTGACCCCAATTACGCCCAGTTAGGCAGACTTTAATTAAATCCTCTTTCTCTAGCCGCGCTGCCGGAGCGGCCTTTACCTCGACCGGTCGAGACTCGAGACTGCCGAAGGATCACCAGAGATTTTCTTCACAACCTACATGAATGAGTTCGACGAAAAAGTGACGATTTTCTACGGAAGGAAAAATGCAAGTTGATGCGGAAAATTCGTCACGGTTTCTATTTCCCATGGGAAATAATTTCCATGGGAAATAGAAACCCATGGGAATCTAATTCCCATGGGAGCGGGGATTCTCTTGCTTACTGAAAAAAAAAAGTAGCAGGTCTTCGTCAGACGTGTAAAAAATCAGCGTTGATTTTATTGGTAAAATTAAATTTAATTAAAATTATTGGTAAAAATTAACGATTGAAAATGACTAATCCTTCGAGATTAGACAACGTCGTTTCCTGCTTCATTTGACAAACGCGACGAATCTTGCGCATCAGCCCGATACACCGATAGAATCGGTCAACAGGTCAGTTGAGGTAAACCTCGACTCGGTAGCAATATCGTTGAAATTAATAATCCAATCGATGAGACAATGTATATAATATATATTTGATACGCGACAGCATCGAATTTTTTCCGTGTGCGAGGCATCGGAGCTGTAATTTTCCTCGATCGGGCTTGTCGAGCGATAATCGGCAGACGGCCCGATGTTCTCGCCGATTGTTTACTCGCACATGAAGCGTCGATTTCCGAATGTCATTGCTCCTGGGGACTTATCGCGAAGTGATATCGGGACGCAATCTCGGAGCGCGTACGCGCTCCGAGAGGGCCAACGTGCTCGGGACGGCTCGTACGGAGACCCCCGGATTTTTGTCGTCCCTTTAAATTTGTTGTTGTGTCACGTCCGCAGGACTGGTTATAGCCGGGCGCGTAGAGCACGTGATGAAAGAAAACAAGGTGCAGTCCGGCCTGGCTGCGGCGGGTAACAGGTTTTCCGAACGGTTAGTACAAAGCGGTAGGGCCGATGCATTGACTTGTGCGTCGCCGATACGCGAGGATCCCGTTGAGGGATCTCTCTTCGTGGCGAGCATCGCTTCGTTTCGTCGAGCGGTGCGCAGTATTTAAGCCGCGGCTGAGCTCTCGACTTTCGCGGAAATTCGTCGCGTCTCAGCGATCTTGACGAGACTCTGCGCCGGATCTCGAGTCGATCTCGCGGATCCCGCGACCGACGAGATCACCGCAACTCGCAAGGTGTGCAGCTGCGGACGCGGTCTCCAAGGGGAGACGCGATCGGGGCCGACTCATTGTCAGGCGAGCCGCGACTCCGGCTGATTAATGCCGCGACTATCGGGGATTAAATCGGTTAGGTAATCGCGAAACCCGTTCCTCACGATTCCGTCGGCATAATCAACAAACAAGATAAGAGAGGACACATCTTCCGCGCTAGATAACTAGCGACTGCCGAACCTCGCTAGAGCGCTAGCACGGATTACGACGGGGGAAGGGAAATGAATCCGCGTCGGGCGAGCAAACGCGCCGCTTCATTGAATCCGTCTGATGCCCGCGACGCGCAGGCAGCGAAGTGCCTGTGCCATCCTTCGCGATTGATTCCCGGCCGCGTCATCGTCGTGAGATTTCTGCCTGACAAAACGCTCCCCAGCTCCTCCGGCTCCGCGCCCGGGTCGGAAACAGCGGGTTCGAGGAGAGATAGAGAGAGAGAGAGAGAGAGAGAGAGAGAGAGAGAGAGAGAGAGAGAGAGAGAGAAAGAGGAGAGAGGAGAGAGATATCTCCTCCGCGGCCGAAGGAAAATTATCGAGCGTGTCGTACGGCGCGCACGCGATCGAACGGGTCGCGAGAGTGCTTAACGACGCATTACATAAACGGAAAGCCAGTACGAGCGGAAACTCGAGGTCTCTTAATATCTACTCTCGCTGCCCACGTTACGTCAGCGAATCGCGCGCACCGACTCGCGCCACGTCTGGCCGTGGTCGACGCGATTTTTCGTCTTTCCAATTTTATCGTCTGGCCTAGGGGAGGGGCAGAAACGTGTCGGCGATGGCGATAAGCGAGGCTTCCAACGTCACGAAGCACACAAAGGTTCCACATGGTCCCCTCGTGACAGCTCGCTCGCTGAATTCGTGATCGAGGCTCGCTCGCTCCTCCTGCGCGTTACGCTCGCATGAAAGCGCGATTAAACTCGCGCTTATATAAACTTTCGGCTGATACACTTGGCGGAAATTGGCGAACGATCGTGCTGGTGATTTTCAGTTCCTTCCGAGGGGAACGCGATGGGTTGCTGCAGCGATTAATCGTCGAACCCGATGGTCATAACTAACTATACGGGGTGTCCGTCGACGAATGCCGCGGCTCCGTTGAACTCGCCGTTTTCTTCCCTCTCGAGTGCGTCAACTCTGGAACCGCCGAAGCCGTGGTAGGCGATCCGACTTGTAATTTCTTCGACAAGTTATCGAAATTTACGATGATGCATTTCTCATTGACGTTGAGCGAAACGAACAAGATTCAACGATCGTCTCTCTGGATTTTGAGCGGATTCTGACGGAAATAGGTCGCGCCAACCCAATAGGTAGTTCCAGCGTTAAAGAGAGCGCGTTCGTGGAAAGTCCTCGATACGCTCCTGAACGCGGCTGCGTGGAGTGGGGAGTGGCCGGTGGGGGTAGACGGCGTGTATCGATGGCGTCGTCAGCTGAGCGCACCACTCACAGCTGGGTGCGACGCTGTCGCCGAACAGCTGATCGCGTCCTCGCGCTGTCAGAACATGGCGAGCTAGCGCGGAGTGCAGCTCGCAAGACCGCCCTGCATTTTCAGGTCGCACTGACCACGGGCCCGTGGTCTCAGGGCCGTACGGACGGGAGTGCGAAAACTCCGACGCGTTTGCCGTCGCTGTGATATGTCAAAAAAGAAAGGAGAAAGAAATCAGTCTCCACGGGAAAACGGCGTTCCCTGGGGCAGCTCGCTTTCGAGTCCGCGTGAACTTGAAATTGCTCTGACGCGACCGATTCCGATACGTGCTATGGTCAAACAATTCGGGGAACACGTCTTGCCGATGAAAGAAGAAATATATTAAGAAGGTCCAGCAGGGAAGATACCTGGCGTTAGCTTTATCCTTGCAAGAAAGAAATAGTATTCAGCTTATTCCGGGGATCTTTTCTTGAGATTTGAAGGAATGGCCAGCCTTTGTCCGAGTGGGCAAAATTACAAAATGTATAACGAATGTAAAATCTGTTTCCCTTCGTTGCTCTTTTTTAACCCGCCCCTTATCCTGCAGAGAACCACTATGAGACGTTCCCCGACACCAGTTTGCCTTACGAAATTCAAATTCGCCCAAGATGGAGGCCATCTTTTCAATTCGCCCTTCGCATTGTCCTCTTTACGACACATATACTTCGCATTCTTTAAACTTTTCGATGGATCAAAATTGTGCATATGTGTGTGTGTGTGTGTGTATGTGTGTGTAAGACACGTCAATTGAACGCGTCGTATATGTTGCAGGTATCGCGCGGACGTACAACGCCGATCTCGGATCTGTTCTTCGACTGGCTAAAGGAACGCTTTCAAGACTGACCAGAAATAAACTCGCTCTTCCGGTAGGTTTGCCGGCGTACGCGATGGCGAAACGCCGCTATCGACGAGAATACCATGCGTATTCGCGGCGCGTGTTTAACTCGAGCAGATAAAACTTTATCATTATCGTCTGAATTGTAATAATCCTCAATGTTACGAACGTAACATGTCTCGAAGGCGAGCGAGAGAGACATTGAGAAACGTTTCCAACGACGACGATGACGTTGCGAATTAATTCTGCAATAACGATTTGTAATATTTTTAGGATCCTCGTGTGTTCTCGCGACACACACACACACACATGCACACGCACACACGCGCGCGTGCATACATATGCACGTGCTCAAAGAATCATTGATGTAAGGAAAACGCACTGCTCAGCGCTCGAGTTGACCTTTGGCTTTAATATCATTGGCATGTAATACTAGGATGCACCGACGGCGAACAGTCGGGCGCGTTCGCCCGTATTCTTAATGGTCAGTGTGTTTCCTGCTTACGGAATTCAGGCAAAATCGATATCTCTCAGCCGGGTCACCTAAAAGAATCCGGAACGCCTATCTATGACGGGCGTTCTACATTTTACGAGCAAACGAGCGAGCCCGAACTGGGTCGGCTGGCCCAAGCGGCGAGGGGGTGCGCGTGCTTTCCGCTAGCGGACGGAGCTACCTCGGTTGCGAGGAAGACGAGATAACAACAAGATAATCGCTTCCCTCAGCGAGGGCCGAAGCGACGCTCGCGACAAGCGCCGAGAGAGAAATTCGGAATCGTCGGGCGAACCGCTATTTCCGCGCGCGCGGCCGCGCGAAAGAAGTCACCGTAGAATTCGATTTCTCGCCGCAGGTGGCAGGATTAGAGGCGAACGCGAGACCTAAAATAGAAACACCGACTGTTTCGCGTGGCGGAACGGCTTAATAAAAGTAAAACCCGCGCGCACACCGCGCGCGGGTGAAAGTGAGTTTCGATGGTACGAGGGTGAAAGAGATCATTGATCCGATTTCGTTTCGCAGGAGAGGTAAACGTTCGCGGTTTACTTTACTCGCCACGAGCCACACTTTGTCTCTCTCGCGAGCTGCTTCTTTGCGTTTTTCCGCTCGCTCGCGTCGCGGCAGACTAACTGAGCGCGCGCGTGGCGTAAATTCGAGGCGCGAAAGGACGAAAGGAAAAAGTGCGACTTGGATTTTACCTCGCGCCCGCGTCTGTCCTGAATTTACACGCTTATTGTTTAAAGAGCTCCTACACTTCTTCCGCCGAGAAGAAAAGAACTCTGCGCGGAGAAGAGAAAAGGATTGCTCGAGTCGTCGCGACAATGAACGAGGTGAAACCGTCTTGGAGACCGGTAGGAAACGGAA